AACTGAAGGAGAATTTCATACCCTTCCACTTCCCTATGTACTTTCCTATACCTATCTGTCGCCGTTATAAAATAAATTCAAAAGGAAGAAAATTACAATAATAAAATTTATTTGAAATTTATCCTAAAACATAAATTTACATTTTATAAAAGATGCTCAAAATGTCTGCCATTTTCTCTAGTGCATACATTTATTCGTTGGGCGAATGATCGAGAAACGTTTCTAAGCATATCAGGTGTAATGTAATGGAAAGCTTGCACTATCCTTTCTTTCATATTTTCAGGTGTTGTAGGTGGCGTATGATAGACTAGATTTTTAATATAACCCCACAAAAAATAATCGAGTTTTGTTAAGTCAGGTGATCGAGCTGGCCATTTTTTTGGACCATTTCTACCAATCCATCTATTTGGAAACTTTTCATCTAATTCATCTGCCACTTCGCGTAAAAAATGCGCTGCTGTCCCATCATGTTGGTACCACATTGTTAAGTCTTACAGCAAGGGAAATGTTTTCAAGTAAAGTAGGAAGATGATTTGCTAAAAAATCTAAATACATCAGACCATTTAAGTTGCCTTCAAAAAAATACGGCCCAATAACATGATCCCCAATTATACCTCCCCAAACATTTACACTCCATCTTTCTTGGCTATGTGTTCTGATGATGCTAGGATTTTCCGTGGAATAATAGTGGAAATTATGTCTATTAACGAATCCGTTCTTGTGGAATGTAGATTCATCAGAAAACAGCACTCTATCAATAAAAATGGATTTTGTTGCAGTTTAGTTTGTACCCAGTTACAAAACACCATTCTATTATCAAAATCGGTGTCTTTCAGCTCTTGATGCAATTGTATTTTATAAGGATGATATTGATGCTGTTTTAAAATCCTTCTAACGGATGTTCTACTTATACCTACTACTTCGGCAATATTTTTTTGACTTACATGAGGATCTTCTATCGCTGTCAAAATTACAGATAATTATCAGTAGCACGTTTGTCAATTATTGATTTTTTATAAGCAACATTTCCTGTTTCGGTAAATCTTTCATGTAACTTTTCAAAACTTTTTTGATCAGGGATGCGTCTATCGGGATATCGTTGATGATAAATTCTTTTTGCCAATAAACAATTTCTGTCGGATTCTCCCAAAACATAGACCATGTCAATTAATTCGTTTTTCGTAAAATTCATTATTAATAGAAGAATTATCGCGATCAGTAAAAATACCTTGACACTTCATTAATAAATAATCTGACATTTCATTAAGACCCAGCCTACTTGATTGAATGTTCACTTTCAATAAAACCACTGGTAGAAATTGGATTTTTGATAGATCAATGTCTTTTTGGAATTTACTTTTAAACGACGACAGATAGGTATAGGAAAGTACATGGGGAAGTCGAAGGGTATAAAATTCTCGTTTCATCGATGAATAGTAATACAGGGTGTTCTATTTGAAAAATTTGAAAAAATGTCCTAGAAAGGACCCCGCTCAAACCTTATGGAAAAGTGATCTATGTGGGAATTGCCTGAATTTTTAATATTGTATTGAGGAAGCCTTACTGATTAAAAGTTACCATTGCGTAAAAATCCAATAACCAATAGTTTCGGAGAGACTGACCAGTGAATGTCTCATTCGCTAAACGATCGTTTTCGTGTTTTACTCATTGGATGTTTGTTTCTGTTTTCTATCTTATTTTGAACTATTTTAAAGGTCTTTTTTAAGACCGTTATGAAAAATAAATAGTTGTCAATAGTGATGTTGAAAAAGTAATTCGGCACTCGAGTATCGTTACTTGAAGATACCCGAAGTAACGATCAAAAAACCAAATTATTACATTGATTTCTCGTATACTACGGTTTGCAGTGGGGATAAACATTAAAGAACAATTAAATCAAACAATTAAATCAAACAATGAATAAAATAATTTAATAAGGAAAGCCTGGTTACAATTTAACCCATTGGATACCTGTATGTCGCCGCTATTGTGCTAGCCGGTTGGCAGCGTCAGAAACGCTATGAAGAAGGTTAGACGGAGGGTACCGAATTTCAGGTTCATGTCTTGCATATCCCAAGTACCATAATATGGATGCAATATGATTGCAACAGCCCAGCGTTCTAGCACCCGATTTGCAAGTGCAATAATGTCCAATAATGACTTTTTTCCTGATCGTTTTCTTCGAGTTTGTTAATAGTCGTATAAGCAATCCATATCTGGTACGTGGTGGCGTTTCGAAATTGTGAGTACACTCTTGCTCGGAGAAATCCTGGTTCTGCATTTAACTGATCTATGTGGAGCTCTTCTATGGCATCCCGTCGCAACTTGTCCTGTATATATGAAGGTGCAAGATTGATTTGATATATTCCAACCGTAATATCTCGCAGATAGTCTAAATCCAAACGAGGAAAGTCATCCAGGTTAGCCGCATCAATATGTATCCACATCGCATTTTGGTTTCTCAATCTAAATTCATCCACACGAGCCATTACATTGACTTCATTCGCCTTGGCCAGCATTTCACGTGCCATGTCTGCGTTGTAGCCTTCCATAGCGATTAATGGGTGGTATTTGTTGAGCTCCCGCTATTCGATAGAATTTACTCAGGTATTCAATTTTAGAAGTATGCATAAGCTGTCCGAATAACTTAAAAATGGTTTTGATGTGGTCATTTCTGGTTTCCACAATACATCGGGTCTTCGTAACAAGCCGTGAAGCATTAGCATTCTCAGTGGAGAGCTGCTGCTGGCCACGTTCAACAACATGGGGTATGTATTGGGTAATACCCAGAGCCTCTAGCAACGGACCTGCATCTCTGTATCCCCTATCAACGATTAGGATATCCTCCTCCTGAAACCAGTTGCGCATAATGTCGCCGTCATTATCCAACTTATTGCGCAACATAGCCGCGTCATTATTACTGGAGTCCACAAAATAGGGGCCCTGAATGGCCAATATATAATTATCAGGAGCAACAAGTAGAGCTGGTTTCACAAGGTGTCGCCCTTTATGAATTGAAAAAGTCTGTCTTAAGACGCAAAAGTTGCTACTCTTTGGAACGTAGGTATAAGTACCATAGATATAGACAATGGCTTTAGGAATATCGGGATTATCATTGTACAAGGTGTTTGCGAACTCGGGAACATGTTGAGCCATAAAAGTCTGGCGGCTAATAGCCTGGAACCCAATATTGTTGGGAACAAATCGTTGAATTAAAGATTTGCTGACAGTAGCAATAATTGTACTAACATGTTGTCGGCTACCATAATGGAATATAGCTTTTATGAATTTGTCTGATAGTCCCTGCCTCAACTTGCAGAGAAACGCTAAGAGATCCTTTTTTTTTTAACATAACGAAAACCGCCGTCGGTGGGCACAGGGTCGCAAAACGTATACAAGGATCTGTTTTTGGCAAGACGTCGTTGGATAGCAATGTTTCTCTTATCAATATAATTGACGCCATCAAGACGTACCATTGGTTTGGACAAAAAGCAGCAGGACAAATGAAGCAGGGCATGACATCATTATGCGCCATGTTTAGTCTTTGTAAAAAATAATGAACTCTCACTAGTAGGTTTAATTGACACTCTTTTACAGAACAAGAAAATTATATAACCTAACTTGACAGAATGACAATGACAAATACTAAAAATATACAAAAACAAATGATGAGTTGAGAACTAGAAATGGAGTTACTTTAGAGTAGGTATTCGTTACTTTCGTATCAAGTAATCATTCCAAATATTCGTTAATTTGATTACTTTGACTATTATGGCATTGCTATGAGTAAAGACGTAGATTATTGTTATTTCCAGTATTCGTTGTTTAAGAAAATTAATTATATTCCGAAACCATGTGAGGCAAAAACCCGTTTTAAAAATGTTTACTTTATAATTGTATGTGTAAATAGTAAATATACATCGATCACGATGTAACGAAAATATCCGTGTTCGTAAGTATTCGTATTCACTTCCACTTCATCATCCTCCAGGCATTCCCTATCATAGCCAATGCGAATATTCTACACCGCGAACCGTAGTATACGAGTAATAATGTAATCATTTGGTTTTTTAATCGTTACTTCGGTATCTTCAAGTAACGATACTCGAGTACTCGAATGGTTACTTTTTCAACATCACTATTGACATCTATTATTATTAAAGAAGATAGAACACAGAAACTTCCATAGAGTAAAGTACGAAGCCTATCGTTTAGCGAATGAGACATTCATTGGCCAGTATCTTCGAAACTATTGGTTATTCGACTTTGGCGCAATGGCAACTTTTATTCAGTAAGGCTTCCTCTAAACAATATTTAAAGTTCAGGCAATTCTCACATAGATCACTTTTCCATAAGGTTTGAGCGGGGTCCTTTTTGGAAATTGAAATTAATTTGTGACCACCCTGTACAAAATAAAAAATTAAAACTTGGTCTAAAAAAATCTTTGGTCTATTGGCTTTATACATTTGTAGTTTTTTAAATTCTAACGTCAAATTCGAGAGAGCACTGCATATTTTAATAGGCGTCTGAAAATGTAATATTTTTTGGTATTTCTTCTTTTTCTGCGAAAGGAGTAGGATGTTAGAAACAATATTTTGTGGGTATGCACTAGTGACCATAGAGTACCTAAAATTGTAAAAAAAGTTGGGTCATTCCATTAAAAAAAAAAAAATAAGTGATTTGCCTAATTTACTATTGGGCCACCCTGTACACAAAATAATTTTGGGATATTTGGTTTTGACCACCATTGACAGGTATACTTCGAATAAATCGTTAAGATTTGCATAATAGGAGTTATAGAACTACGACAGAGGTTTGGCCAACCCTGTATAATGAGCATCCTGCATACTTGGGGAATTTTTTATAAAATGTATGATTGATCTTTCTTAGTTATTAAGGGCAATTGTCTTTGTTAAAATATAATTCAAACATCATTTTAGTACTGTTTTATAATTTTGATTCTGTTTCAACGCAAATTAATTAACACAAAATCATTTCAGCTTTACAGAAGAAAAAAGGAAAAATAGAAGAAAAAATGCAAAAAGCTTTAGGACAGGTATCAAAAGATTTAGACTTAAAAGGTGTAAAACTCGATAGCAACGAGCAGCACGGTTACTTCTTCAGAGTCACCTTGAACGATGAACCGACATTGAGAAAGAGAAAAGACTATAAAATTTTAGATGTCATTAAGGGCGGTGTTAGATTCGTAAACAATCATTTAGAACAACTAAATGAAATGTACCAAAATCTTAATGTGGAATATACCGAAAGACAAAAGGCTGTATTAGGCGAAGTGTTTGAAGTGGCCGGTAAGTGGAATTTTTATTTTTAATCCTCTTACAACGAGTCCTAAATCAGCCACTGTTTGGCAAGTGACAATATCAACTTTAAAGTTAGAAATAGTATATTGTTTCACGAGTGACGAAAATGATTTTCGACGAGTAAAACACTATACTTTTTCTACGAACTCTATTATGTCATGTAGGTACCCACTAAAATGAAAAAAAAAAAAACGTTAGCAAATGCTTTATTTTGTGTTAGGAATAACAAAAAATTAACCAACAATTAAATATTTCAGAAATATTATTTATTATTTAAATATTGATTTATTGTTATATTTGAACAATTGTTCAAAATTATGGGGGTATCTCTCTCAAGCTTTTTATTTATTGACGTCGCCATATTTGTTCTACTGTTAAATGTCATTTCAGATGATGATGCGCCATAATCGGATGAACTAGTAGTTTCCTTATTTTGTACAGATTGTAAAATTTTGGTTTGTATTTGGTTTTTACTGTTCGTGGATTCATCAACATATCCTTCCGCAACACTACTAGATTTCCAACCACCGTGCTTTTTTAACAGAAGCAAGTCACCTCCTGCATCCACTAATAGCGTTGCGGATGTTCTGCGGAAACAGTGCCCAGTGTAATCTTGAGGATTCGGAAGCGTTAAAAACTGAGCAATTTCGTTAGGAAGTTTACTGATTTTATTAATTCCAACAACCTGTCTGCTACACTTTCCATTCTGATAGTTAATAAAGAATCTTGAATTAATTTGATCCATGTTTGCGGGACGTAGGCTCATATATTTTTTAGAAATATCATAAAAGGGTCCAGAAATATGAAAAGAATGCGGAACTTTTGTTTTTGTATTACGGATTTTAACTAACAGAATACTTCCAGTATCCTTTACATCGCTTTTTGTTAAATCTTTTAGTTCGTGGCAACGACAAGCGCCAGATAATCCAAAAACTAATGCCACCTACAAATATTAGTAGTTATGTATTAAGTATTTGTTAAAATAAAAATAATAATTCCGTTACCTTTGTTATTAAATATTTATAGTCAGGTGCATTCTTTAGGAAAGTCTTTATGTCTTCAGGCGAAAAAATTTTGGATTTTTGGCTTTTAAAACCATCAGATTTTCTTTTCAAAAGCGAACGTAACTTTGGATATTTACTAATATCGACATCATTTTTAACAGAGAGTGTAGTTCTTAGCATCGAATAAATGGACCATAACGTCGACGGTTTAAAATTTGAACATATTTCTCCAAAGTATGCTAGTAGTACAGTTTCCGAAAATGATTTCACTTTATTTTTTTCTCTCCAGTCCAAAAATTTGATATAAATTTCTTCATATATCTTTTTTTATTTGGCCGGTAATAAATCTGAAGAGGTTTCTTCAGCTTTAAAAATAATTTCTGGGGGAGTACAATCGCTTTCTGACTCAGACATCATGAAAATGTGTTAAATTCTTAGATTATACAAACCTTAGATGGAACATAAGACACTGCGCATAATCCCATTTCAAAATGATTCACACCCACCAATCACAGTTGAGAACATCACATGTCAGACCGTTGTACATCTAAATTTAATGTGTCAACGAGAATTAATTTGGTATTTTAGTGACTTAAATTTTGGAAATTAACGTTTAAAATGCCAAGATGTGTTGTAAAAAGCTTTATTTATAATAAACCTGCGAAATGTGACGGAGTTAAAAGAAACTTATATTTATTTCGGTGAGATATTTAATTTTTAAAGATTCTGTCGACGTCCATATTTGTTGATTTGAAAATAAACAGAATCGGACTTGGTCATTGGTACATGTTATAAGTAGCAAATAAAGGTTAATATTATAAACTGTTTACTATTTCTTGTTTCATAGGGAATCTTTTTTTAGGAAGTGAAAAGAGAAACATACAATCAAATACAAAAATATCAATTTCATTGCCAATTTATTCGTTTCAAACTTTACAACTGGTTTCAATAGTTTTCTCAAAACTATTTATTTAGTAATTCTCTATAACAGTGTTACTCAAAGTGTAAAGCCAAAGTTTCCGCGAAGAAAATAATCACAATAAAAAAAAACAGTACTATCGCCACAAAATGGAGGGACCTGGCTTGAGGACCGTTTTTTGGGAAGTAATTTTTTTAAGTCACTAACAGGAAGGAGGTAATGATTTTGCTTTAAAGGACTTTTTTTATTTAATTTTTTATGGGTGAAATGGATTTGGGATAATTTTTGCAAGGAATCTTTGGAATAAATCAAAAATAAATGATGCTCTTGTGCATTTTCAGCCTAAGTTGCCGATTAAATTATTCGTAGATGCATCAAATGTGGGAATAAGGGCCATGATATGTCATGTTTTTGAAAAAAAAAAAAAAAAAAATATTGAGAAATCTATAGCTTCTGCTTCGCGTACCTTATCAAAGTCCGAACAAAAATATTCCCAAATTGAAAGAGAGGTCCTTGCAATAATTTTTGGCTTAAATAAATTTAATGAATATTTATATGGACATTTGAATAAAGTAGAACATTAAGCAACCGATTACGAAAAGTTGATTATGTCACCAGTTACGAAATGAAAATAAATAAAACTGCCTCTTTTTTGGTTTCTAAGTTGAAAAATCGAAAAATCGTGAAATCGAGAAATTGAGAAATCGAGAAATCGAAAAATCGAGTAGGTAATTGAAAAATCTAAAAATAAAAAATCGAAAAATCCAAAAATCAAAAAAACGAAAAATGAATAGTGACATTTCACATTTGAAAATATGACATTGCGTTTAAAAACAAAAAGAAAACAAAAAAAGAAAAGCTGTAAATTGCGTTTAATTTTCAAAATAACACTGTTATTGAAAACTGCCCAGAAATGTTGGGGGTAAAATTTTGACGTACTTCTTTAAGGAAAATGTTTTTTTTTTTCAAATTTCTCGCGGGTAATGTCAAAAATTAGATCGGCAACACTGCACATGTTCCTTATTTTTATTATTACTATTGAAAAAAAAAAAACGTCGTAGGGCAATCAAATACAACAATTTTCTAAAATATTTGATTGGAAGTACCTACACAAGAATGATGGTGAATCATTTTTCAACACAATTTTATAAATAATCAAGTCAAAATTAGAAAAAATCTTGTATATAAACACGTTACGAAATGCCGATTTGTGTAAGTCGTTCATGTTGCGGGAACTCGCTCCGCTCGTTTTGCAAATATTTACTCGTTACACAAAATAAGGCATTTCGTAACTGGTTACATAAATAACTATTAATTGACTTTCTAATATTTTAATTCATTGAACGGTATTTTCCGTAAATAATTAAATCAAAAATAATTACCAGGATATAAGTACCAAAACATTTTTTTCTCTTAGAACAGTAGGCCTATGTCAAATAAACTTAAAATAATATAACGAACGAAAAGGTAACCCATTTCTAATAAAATTTAGTTATTTATTTTATTTTGGTGTAATCGTAGAAAAAATCTTGTGTGTAATTCGAGCAAAAAGTACTTATAAACTTTTACTTAGGGTCGATTTCACCGTTTTGTTAAACGAAGTTTAAAATACTAAACGAATATTAAAATGACATTTTTATATTAACAAAAACGAAGTTTAAATTACTAAATGGAGTTTAAAATGACATTTTTACATTAACAATGTCATTTTAATCTTCGTTTAATAATTTAAACTTCGTTTGACACAACGGTGGAATCGGCCCTTAGCTAGTTATATATTGATAAAGTGTTATTGCCCTCATCATACATGAATCGTGCTAACAAATAAAGTCAAACAAACGTCTCATAATTTTTCATCTTTTAATTACCCACCAAAATTAGGTACTACAATACAAATATTTAAGTCCGGCCCAGAACATCTCCCTACTCCTTCCACCCAGTTTTTCGGTTTTGGCAAAATTCGCGCAGCGAGAAATGCTTCCTATGATACCTCTACCCTTTCTAACCTCTTTGGTTAAATTTAGGACGAACTGAAACTGACAGTTCTCAAAAGTGATAAAACTTCAAATAAACAAATGAAAACCAGGAAACTAGATGTAGATTGGTTTAATTTGCACTATTTTTATTTTATCTTTAATTCATTAAAGTTTAGGTAAAAACGCATATAGAATTTAATGAGCATCTTTTTATTTCATTATTAATAATTATAAGCTGCCAAAATATTATACGAGGCGACTGATATATGAAAATATGTAACAACTTACTTTCGTCACTAGAGACGAAAGTAAACGTTATGGGATTTTTTCTCACTAGTGACGGAAATCAAGTTTTCGCTGAAAGTATCCTGTGGCGAAAGATGTCTTTTTGTAAGAGTTCGTAGAAAAAATAGTTTCTCACACTCCTATATGTATACTGACCCATTTTGACCTGTCCTCTATTTCACTAGCTTTTAATGAATAAAATATTGTATTAAATTAGGTTTAACCCTATTGCCATATTTATATTTTAAATATTATTTTAGCTGGATATGTAGAGAGTTTACGAAACTTGAATATATCAATTGCCACAGTTGACGTTTTAACATCCTTCGCTGTAGCGGCCATCTCAGCAAGAATACCTTATGTTAAACCAAAACTTCACAAAGAAGGCTCAGGAATTTTAAAGCTCAAACAAATTAGACACCCATGTCTCGAAGCTCAAGATAGTGTTTCTTTTATTCCAAATGATGTTACGTTTAACGCAGAAGAAAAATTGTTGTACGTCATTACAGGTAAATTTTATTTTAATATACACATTGAATTTGTTATTCGTTATATACTCTATATGGATTTCGTTACAACTAAAGTAGAACCAGAAATATTATAAGGTCATAAAACACCAACCACTTAAAGTTATTAACAGGTAATCAGCCGGTTGCAAGAACGATTGTTAAAATCTCTCGTTAGCTAAAGAACAAATAACTAACTGGCAACGGCGCTTTTCCAACTGACAGTCTGTCGCTTCACAGCTGATCACGGGAGATTTTTAAATTAATGAAGTTAATTTGGTAATATTTTTTCGAAAATTAATTACAAATAAAGTAAAAAATGGCTCAACCTTTATGGCTATGGTTAAATCTTAACACTATCCCTATCTTTTTTCGACATCGGCTCATATTTTTTAATAGACAGAAGCAAGGACAGAATATAATTTCTTAAAATAAATAGAATAGAAAAAAGAGGAAAATACTCATTTAACTGCCCTTCTCGTAGTGCTCGATTAAAAATCTGTGATTTGTGGTTTAAAGCAACAGTATTTAAATATAGTTTGTCCCTTTTATATAAACTAAAACTATTTTTCTTGTACTTACTTTACATTTTCTCTTCCCATTTGTCACACCATGGAAAAGCACATTTCTTTCTACTGTACATTATTTTTTCAAATAGAAGTACATAATTAAAAATATGTTTAGTTTTTATCATGTGTGCAAACCCCATTTACTGTGGTAATATTTCCAATGTATTTTCTATTTTTAACAGACTTCAAAAAAGAAGTAGGTCCTCAATTCATCGGAATATATTTTTTTATGGATATTAACCGACAATTCTTTACTATGTTGTCCGATTTCTGATTATTTTTTTGTTAGGAAGGGGGCTCCTCAGAGATGGTTTCATAATATAAATTTGGTAAAGATCTGATGATGGGATTCATGAGAAAATAATCACTCTTCGTATTTTGTAGTCGTCAGTTTTTTAAAATTAATTTTGTAACTTATACATTTTTCAATGAATCAAAGTAAAAAACTGTTTAAATTGGGAAATTTCTAAAGTTCAGTATCTAATTTTTAGTTAGAAATGGAAAACTGGAGGAGAGATGGTAAAATCTCTGGTATGAGAAATAAATTCACATTTGACCTCTTCTTGAAAATCATATACAGTTCCTTTAATCCCTTCAATTTGGATGCTATATTTCTTTGCTAATAAACTAATGCTAGAATTTATTTTTTATTTAAGAACAACTTTCTATTTGTACAATATTGGAATTTCTAGATTGTTGAGAAAATTAAATAATTATGATATGATAATTAGCTTTTATAGGTTGTGTAATAGTCGAAATTTAGAATATTAAATAATTACTATGTATAAATTACACTTATTTACCTTAATATATTTGCTTTCACATTTGTAATTTACAGATTTGTAGGTCATAAATAAAACACCAAATTCATTTTTAAATTTTATTTTTTAGGATTAAATTAATATACACAAAATACATATCATAATAAAAAAATATAATAAATCCACAATAAATAAAAATACATTTAATTTGCCCATCATTATTAAGAATTCTAATTCTAGAAAATAAACATTCAATTCAGGATTTCTTTTTGGTTATGACAGGTTTCAAGTTGACTAGTAATTTTGTGTTAAAATTTACAGTTTGCCTAACGTATTGGATACGTCTACTTAGCCAGTTCCACATATTTAATAAATGTATAAAAAGAAATGGATTATTTCAACATATGTACAAACAATAAAAATGTTATTACTGATAGTAGTGTACTGCTAAATATTTACTTTTTCTGAAAATAGGCAGAAAAAACTATAAAATTATTCATGCTATCATCTCATGAAATATTTTAAAATACTTAGCAAACACCTATATTACTACAAAGTAATGCCTATTTAAAAATAAAAACATATTGCTACAAGGCTATACCGCCGTCATAAGCCAGACCCCCATAACTGACAAATTACAAATATTTGAGGTTATTTGACCATTCTGATACTAACCCATTTTTCTTTTTAAAAAGTAAACAAAATACCAGCAATTTTTATTCTGTATCCTAAAAAGTCAACTTGATTCTACAATGTAACTAACATTTTTCTAGAGAATTCTTATCAAAAATCAACCCAAAACATTAAATCACACTTATTTATATAACTAGTTAAAAACATTATTCAAAACTTGTCTTTAATTCAACAAAAGCAGCTATATTGGTAACACATAACAAAATACTGGCACTAATACATTTCTTTTATTGCATATATCTCCATTCTATAGTTTGTGTAGTTACTGGGGCAGTATAGATATTTTAAAGTTTTATTTGTGAGCCAAGCCTGTCTTATTTCAAGATTAGTGGTCCATACAACAATATTTTTAATTTTGTTGTTACAAAGTTTTCCTTTTTTAACTGTAGGGTTTTGCTTGAGAGTCTGTGCAGGGGGATCGGCAGAGTCCACTTGGGCCAGGGAAGGGTTTAGTAGATTCCTTAGGAGTGAAGAGACTACTAGGAGAAGCAGCTACGGAGACTCCACTGGAAAGAGGCATAATATCAATTACTGATTTGTTCACCTACAGAATAATAAATAAATATATATGATTCTAGAGCTCTTAAAAGTATGTTCCAGAATATAATGATATAACAAAATTTATAGGTAATTCGTCATTGAAGAAGTTGTAACTCGAACCTCCATAGAGATTATTCAGCACATATGAGGTATCACTCATTCAACGATGATATTTAGCTGCAGTTAACTAGGACTCATGTAATTATTTATTGCAATGCAAGAACCTAATTAGACCTACAGTTATACTTTACTAAAATATGTAAAAGTTCCCTTCATCGGGCACGGTGGTGTAGCGGTCTATCGCGCTTATATTCATTTATAGGCAAGTTTATGAGTCTGAGACTGCTGGGTTTCGAATCCCAGACCAGACCATGTGGATTTTTAATTAAATTGCATGGTTCGGTTTAGGATTTGATGTGTGGCGTACTAATAGAAATTCAATTTCTGTTGATATGACATGCAGATTAAAAAAATTCGCCATACATTACCGTCTCGATGATGGTGGGTGAGGTTTTCCGGGTTTTCCTCACCTGTAAGTCAAATGGCACCATCAATCATCTTTAAGTCGCCCCGGAGCGCCACGGCAAATAATAATAATAGCCGTCCCTTTCCCCGGACAAGCTCAGCTTTTGGGGTTAAAATTCACTCGTAAGGGGGTGAATTAGGGAGAGTATTATTATTATTATTATTATTATAATTCCAAATTTATCTTCATATTGCACTAATTTTCCTACCAACATACAAAGTATTTGTGATAATTATACATGATGGTCCAAATTTGACATGTTTATAAGATATTACTAAATTAGCAGGGGATAAAGCACATTTGATGTCGCACCTTTTTTTTAAACTTAACATGTTATTTTAAATCCCCTTATAAATTCTTCCCCTGAGTAAAATGCAAGAGCGATTTTTAAAATATCATTATTTTCTTTGGGTGTTTAAATAAAAAATGGTAAATGTTATTACCTCGAAAAATTTGTACCCCTTAAAAAAATTAATGTTACATATGAAACTATGTCAAATTATTAAATTGTTTTTCAAAATAAAATATTTATTTGAGATAATAAATTATGACAAATTTAGAAAATCACCCTATGTTTTCTAAAAAGGATTTATAACATAACTAAGCATTTCATGTTTTTTTCTCAAAAAAGGTGACAATGGTGGATTATAAGGTTTCGATATCCAGTTGTATCATGTAAAAGCGTCGAATTTTGTCCACCATGTACAATAAAACGGCTAAGTTTAAATAAAAAATATAAATTTATTTTCATTATTATAACATTACTTTCTTACCAAAAAATTCAGCAGTGGAATCAAAGGAATTCAACGGGGACTCTATTTGATTATAAAAAAAATGCTTTAATTTGAGCCCATCTCATCAAGTTGGAGATTTACCACGCCCCCTTCTCGTTTTTCACCCTTAAACAAATAAGGAAAAAATTTAAATTAACAAAAATAATACTAAACGTTAGTCATTTCCAATTTTATTTTATTTTTTTAACTTTAGTAGCTTGAAAAATCTTTAAAATGGGAAAAGACAGATATTGCTAAAATTGTATAAATAATAACACATACAAAAGAAGTTTTATATTGTATATATAAAAGTGATTTAATTTCTGTTTAAATTAAAATCCTATGAATTAATCTTTTAAAATATAAAATTTCTGTTAAATAACATTATTATAGGTACTTTGCTTAGAAAATTAACTTTAAATATATTACTGCATAAATTTTTAATTTGATTTCAAATAAATGTTTTCTTTTATTACTAAGAAGGCACAATATTCTATACTATATAGAAGGTAAGTATATTAATGTTACTGTCCCAGAAGGGTGGGTGTACAAATATTATGAATATGCAAATGTTATGTATAATAAAAGTGTCCTTTGAATGAGACAAACAAATACGAACCTTGTCCTGTCTCTCCTTCTATTTGACCTCTTGTAAAGTTTAGTTTTCTTTTTGTTGTATCTCACTTTTAGATTTCCTTGTATCAGTTTTATATTTAATAAAAGCTAGTTATTCCTAATTAGTATTTTGGCCAATACAACTTCTTAGCCATGCAATAAAGAGGTCTTCTTTAATTACCTAAAAATTTAACCCCAAAAATGTAGTTGGAAATACAAATTAAGTATGTAATAAAGTGAATGTTTTTGAAGGAATTTTATGTACTTATTATTAATTTACTTACCAAGTGGTTTTTCTTCTATCAGTAGCAGTAAATTGCTTGCGATTTTTTTTTGTCAACCATTATAATACTTCAACTAAACGAACTCAAATTGAACTTTTATAATAAATATTCAAAGTACCTCTCGACACAATCCTACACTTCCTTGAGAAAATAGGATTAGAAGGGACGCTATAGGCATTGAGACATTTCCTTAGTGCAGTGGCGACAGAAGGGGGCACAATAGATCTTTTAGGTCGCAGTGTATTAACACCCCATTATCAACATAACATAACCTCTCGACACTAACATAAATTGGCTGGAAACTTAGATAACTTACTTACTCTGAGGCTGGAAAATTGAAAACAATAATAATGAGGGTCGTCAGCTAACAATGATTTGTGACCTTACAATGGCTGCGTTCAGCAAACGCAACAATTTACTTATTTTCTGCTGAAAGACAACTTTTCTCAACGTTGCGCGAAACAGTTGTCGGATCAGTCGATATTTTTTGGAGCATATTTGATTTATACTACCTTTCTAGTAAACATGTTGGACATTCTATTTTGGAAGTTAAGATCAACTTAAAAATATATTAAAGACGAGGGTGTCGATTTAAAACATGGAAATTCTAGAGTTATAAGACCCAGATCTCGATCAAACTTTCAAAGTTCAGGTGACTGTTAAAGAAAAGCATCTAGTAGTGAATGGAGGTCCCCTCAAGTTTACAATAATATTTAAGTCTATCATTGTCAAGGGCGACCATTAAAATATTGCCATCTGTTGTATCACTTAAGTTTTCTTTAGAATAGTTGCTTTTGCTATTATACACAATACCCTTCTATATTTTACTTTTTAATTTACACACGATCCATAGATAAAATCATAAATTTGGAGTTTGGAGGTTAGTTACATGCCTGGTGTAATAATTGTCTTTCATCATAGTTACATGACTTCAAAAAATGTCAAATGTCACTACAGTTTTTTGCTTAAAACGCAAAAAAATACTGCAAATTGATCTGAAACAGATCCCGATCAGATTTTTTCTGCTAAACATAGCCAATATTTATGGTTCTACTTTACCTCAATGGTTTTCCAAAATCAGTTGTTCAGAAAAATTCCCATTTTTTTAAAATTTCCTATTTTGTAAAAACGTTTATGAAATTAAAATATTGTTTTCTAGGACCAAATATGTGTGGTAAAAGTACTTACATCAGAAGCGTAGGTATATGTGTTCTCATGGCCCATATCGGCAGTTTAGTACCTTGTAGTCATGCTGATATTTCCATAGTGGATGGTATATTAGTTAGGGTGGGAGCGGACGATTGTCAGCTAAAGGGCCTCTCAACTTTCATGTTAGAAATGATAGAAACTTCATCAATTATAAAGGTATTTATGGAAACATTGTAAATCATATTTATGCATGATGCTATAAAAAGAAGTTAAGATATTATGCCACATACTTTGATTACTATACGGGGCAAGAGAGAGGTCCGACACGCCCAACATAGGGCGCGGCCATTTGAACCCTATGACACAGTTTATAGCTAAAGAATCAGATCGCTCACTCTGCGTCGGCACTTTTTATCTCAATGTTCCAGTTTATACACCGCAACTCAGATAATACAATATATGACAACCGCCTATAATAAAACAGCAGTCTTCTGCGTATCCTGAATTTGTATCCCTGGAGTGGATGTTATTTTGGAACTTTCAACTGGTCTGAGTGAGCTAACTGATTCTTTAGCAATAAACTGTGAGTCCAAAAATAATATTCACTGACACTGACAGCAGCAAGCAAAATATCAGGTGCGTTTTAATCATCCGCTTCTGCTTCCGGAATTGTCGGTTCAGTCGTTCTAACCTGTCAGATTAAAACAAGAAAACCGACAATTCCGAAGCAGAAGCGGATGATTAAAACGTACCTATTAAAAATATTGCGCCAAGATGTAGGCAACACGTAATAAGGGTTCAAAATGGCGGAGTTTTCTATCTCCTTTTAAAAGGCACCCGTATAGTAAGAGAAAATCAAAGTATGTGTATTATGCAGATTGATACTATACGTCACGGTGACGTATTGTGGTGGAAGGCGTGGCTTTTATGAATTTGAACAGATGATAGAAAAAAGCGCGAAAATAAATTTTAATTTGCTCACACTACAACAGAGTTGGGTCGGTTACAGGAAAAAAGTATCCAAGTACCGGATACGGATACTTACAAAGTATCCGGATGCCTTTTAGGATATTTTAACCAAAAAAGTACTCAGATATAAGTATCCGGATACTTTAAAGGATACTTTTAAAGTGAGTTAAAATAATGTTTTCATACCAATAGTTATAATTATGTAATAAGATTGATTACGAGTAACAATAAACAATACTAGGCATAAATAAATTAAAAGAAACAGGAAAAAAAATACGTGTGTCACTCGGGGACTGCCGCGGTAAAGCTATTGCATTGCATTTTTATCAACTTATGAAATTATAATTATTTATTTATTTTATTTATGCAGTATTTTTTTTTCTTTGATATTAATTCAAGTTTTTTCTTTGATATTAATTCAAGTTACACTTTTTGAGCGTGGTGACCGATAAGAAAACAAATTTATTTCTTTTATTGAATAAATAAGAAGTTAATATTGTTTAAAATATTTTTATTATCTTACAATACATGTAGGTTATTCAGGAATTTTTATCATTGAAACTATAGGTTTATGGTAACTGAAATAAGAAACATAAGTTTGAGACTAAATATCTGGAAAATACCGCGTCAATGTTCGTCCCATATTTTGTTGTGGATTCTTGTGGATCATTATTCATTTTCAAATTCAATTTTTCCGAAATTGTGTCTAAAAGCCTTTGGCTCGTTTCGTATCCCGGTTAATGCTCGTGTATTAATAACCATCATTACATGATCGTTGCATAATATACTATTATAAATCTTGCAAAAAAAATTAATATCTAATATTTACGCCAGCCGGGAACATTTGTGATACCAATTTATTAGAAGCCAGAGAAAGCTTTTCTAGTTCTTGTATTGAATAAACGTTCCAGTACGCAGACGTATATTTAACTCCGCTTCATACTAATACGAATAGGGTCGGATAAAACCTTCCACGGCTTTCAAAACGCCGCACCGCTGTGCCAGTCGGAGTGGGGGGTGTTAGGTTTATTTTCGTTACGGAATTACGAAATTTCTTGATTCGGTCGCCACGCTCAAAGCCCGCTATAAAAGCTTCTCAATAAATTGTTTATTATTTTTATTTTGTGAACATAAAACATTAAAACATAAAGGTGCGTGTAAATAAAACGAGTCGCGCCTGAACCGTGCCAAAAACCAGCCAGTGTCGTGTCCATATAAATCTAACGAAATAAGCTCGTTGTTGGCGCGACTTGGCATGCTTATACAACCTTTCGATATTCTCGTCAGTGTCAGATGCATTCGACAATCCATTTTTTGTGGATCCTCCGACGAGCGGTACTTAGTAGAGTCGAGAGCGTCGAAAGAAGGAGGAGTGAGAGATTGCTGAATGTTTCGTTCTGGCATAGGCAAGGCAGGCTCGCACATTTGATCTTGTCAGATCTGTATACTTAATTGATATTGATGACGACATAAATAACACATGATCAGTAACATTATGAGCAACAACGTCATACATGTATCTTCTCGACTACATTTTAAGAACTAATAATGTAATTAGACATTTTACAAAACAAAAAATTCGAGGTACCTACACCTACTTACCTTTGTGTATAGTTAGGCACTAAAACTGATACAGAAAGTTTAGTTATATTGCACTATATAAAAACACAGGAACAACCGTCTCTTGTCTTTGCCAACTGAAACATAACTGGGCTAATGGAACCTCCACAAGTTCGTGACGCTAACACCGGGCAAGAGTTGTCAGGATTTTTCCTGTAAAAACGTGGCGCAAGATGCTGAATCCCGACCGTCTGTATACTGGGTGAATCGTCGAATTAATCCTTGGCGATGTGAAATTTTTTTTGTGTTATTTTGAATTTTACAGGGTGCACGAAACAAAACTACAAATCAAAATAACATAATTATTTTTTATTTAAGTTGGTACCTATTACAATTGTGTCTTAAATATTGTAATATTGAAAAATACGTATTTTATTTCTAATTATACAAGTTAGCTCAAAGTATTTCGATTATATATTTTAATAGAGATAGTATGGATTTGATCAGTTACGATTGTGGTAAATAATTTAAAAGTATCCGAATGCTGAAAAAAGTATCCGGTATCCGGATACTTACAAATTTGGTACATACAGTACATACAGAAGTATCCGGATATTACCCAACTCTGCACCACAATACGTCATTTGCGAACTCGACAAGATTTCGTCGGCTAAGTATCATACCTCTGTAATTTTTTGTATCATGATACTTATGTAAGTTCTTTTTTAATTTAATTTTTTTTAATTATACCAATACTCTTTTACAATAGGGCGAGGGTGCGAAGGAAATAACTCGTCACTGTCAGGCAAGAAAAAAGAAAAAACGAATTTATAGATGCACAAGTATTTTTAGGAAGCGTTGTAATGAACGTTTTTGCTTTAAAATTGTCACCTACTATCAATTTTATTGTTACGATGCAAATTGGAGTATTATTCATTATTTTAAAAGACAAACGTAGACTTATTTTCTTGACTTTATATTTTAAAACAAATAATGACAACTTCATATCTACTTATAGTTTATTTGAAAATGAATGATAGCAAAATTTTTATAACCACAATATAAAATCATAAATCAGTGACGTCTAAAAACTATATGTTTGATATTATTTGTTCCAAAATAAAGTCTTTGGTTTTCTTCCTAAAATTTTTAAAAATACCAATTTATTTCAATTCTTGTCTTAAATTTTCTAGTAATTTTAATCAACAAAAATAAGGTAGAAAATATTTACAATTCAAGAACAATTTAAATAGCCCTCAACTTTCTTAGAAAAACAGAAAGTGTTATGCAGATTGTAAATTATTTTGGTTAAGATTTACATTTCTGTTTGTATAGTCCTGTGATTGTAACACACAGAATAGTTAGTTCTGTAATAATAGGCGGTAAAAAACGATATTAATCAAGTGAATTTGTGAAATTAAAGTGCAATTAACCGTGCATATGAAAACTTTAGTGTTAAATATACATGACACTCTTGTACATGAACATTTCAATAGTACTGTTCGGAGTATAGTTTCTAAGTGTAATATGACCGGAGTTGGAGAAGCAACCATTTATAGACTTCTGAAGCAACGAAAGGATGGAAGTATTACAGTAGCACCTAAAACCCATTCAAATAGACGGCACTATGAAACAACTGATCCGAAGAAAAGTGCATTCGTTTTATTTAGAAAAAAGATACCTATTTTGAATAAACTTTTAGTAGACATTAAAGGAGACGAAACTTTGCCAAACGTTAAAAGAGACAAATTGTGGAAAATTTTACATGAATTAGATTTGGGAGAAGAACAATAGAAAATCTGCGCTTTTAGAGAAAGATGACATTATTTGTTGGATAATGCAATATTTAAGGGAAATTAGAAAACAACTAAGAATAGAGGATAAAAATATTTTTTATTTGGATGAAACATGGATAAATGAAGGACATGTAAAAAAAGTTTGGCAAGATAAACAGGTTGTAATTAATTGCTCGTCAGACATTTAAAGGTTTGTCTACTGGCTTAAAATTTCCAAATGGTAAATGTTACTGTTTAATTATCACTCATATTGGAGGAGAAAGGATTTGTTGATAAAGGCTTTTGTTAGAATTTGTTTCAAATTCTACGTAAGACTACCATGAAGAAATGACTGCTGATGTTTTTGAGGAATATTTCAATCAAATGATAGATTTATTACTGACCAATTCTGTAATAGTTATGGACAATGCCAATTACCATTCAAGATTAAAGGAACCGTTACCTAACACTAAATGGAAAAAGTAAGAACTCTCCGATTGGCTAATAACCAAAGAAATAGTGGCAGAAGAGGGATTACTTAAAAAAGAGGTATTGGAATTAAAATACCTACGATACGGCTATGAATAAATAAAGTTTGACTTATCTGTCAAAAGAAAAGGTTTATTACAGTAAAAACCATGGAAACATGATTAAATCTAAACGAAAATTTTTATTAGGCCGATCAGATGTATTAAAATTTTCATTTTAACTACAAATAAGGATGACGTATAAATAAAATTTCTACCTCTTGAACCTGTACTACGTTCTGCAAATTAAATTATGTACTCCTTTGTTCTCTAGACTATAACACAGTTAAAAAGTTTCCTTCCTCGTACCCTGTAGTGTGTTATCTTGTTATTTTGAAATAAAAATAGCTATGCTAATATTATTTTTCTTTTAGAGCGCCACTAATAATTCACTAGTAATTATTGACGAACTAGGAAGAGGAACGTCTACTTATGATGGTTGTGGTATAGCTTGGGCAATTGCAGAGTAAGTTCGGCAATGTTTTACTATTTTTATTTTGTTGTGACAACTTCATTTTGGAGTGTTATGATTATGAAGACTAGAGAGAAAGAGGCGAATCGGCAATGGTCAAATATCAGTCCTTCATTTTATAAAGTTCGCGAAATTGACTGTAGTTGGCATGTCGAATGACAGCGGTGTCAATTTTCTATGTAAGTCAATGTAAAATGAAGTGATTTTTAAAAAAATTGGTGAAAAGAATCAAAATAATATGAAAAAAAGTACCCGAGTACAAATAACCTGAGTGACAAAAAACATCAAAGCAAGATTTACGTCGTTTCAGATTGTAAAACAGGATAAAAATCAAATGTAAAACTAAATAAAATACAAGAAAAAATCAACTCAATGTCTTGTTAAAGCTTCTTATGTAAGTAAAATAATGTATTCATGTCTAAATATAAGTTTTAATGTTAGATAAAGAGTTGCTACTGTTATTTTTTTTTTTTTGACCCCAATTGTGTCATTGTAAGTATTTTTTATAGGATACTAAACATTTAGAACAGTGGCAGCATATACAGGATGAGTCGGGAGGAGCGCACCAAACTCTAGGAGTATATTATACACGTGAAAATAATGTAAAAAAACTCATATGTTCTTATCCGATTTTCATTTGTTTTCAAGTTGTGGCGTAATTAAAAATGTTCATCTAGCTTTCCACTTCTGAATTTTAACATTATCAAAATATGCTATATGTTCAATGGCGGTATTTTTGAACATTTATTGAAAGAACGCTATAATTAAGAGAATTTTTGTGTAAATTTGTTTATTTGTTAATTTGCTATAACTTGAAAACAAATGAAAGTCGGGTAAGAACATGAGTTTTTTTACATTATTGTCACGTGTATATTATACTCCTAGAGTTTGGTGCGCTCCTCCCGACTCACCCTGTATATCGTTTCTAGTGCCGATAAAGCACTTTCTAGAGATGATGCTGTTCTATACTTTTTGGAAGATATCAAATATTATGACTATTTTTACTGATGGTACTGTTAGCAAAATAAGAAGGGGAAAGCTGAAATTAAGGGATGAGTTAATACCATGTACATTCCCAAATCTCCCTTTATACTTTTATTACAACAATAAATAATCTGTTAACTGTGTTTTATTTTACTCGTAAAACTATATATTAGTTCATTTCAAAAAAAAAAATTGCCACAAAATTGTACTCATCAAATTATAGCATTTAAGAAATCTTTTCGAATTTGGTCATAGATACCTAATTTGTATTTTATATAGATAAAATTAAATAATTTATCAATTAAAACATGCAAGACTTATTTAGAAATAAATACAACAGTATGTTCTGTGCTTTATTTAGCTATAAACAAGTTTGTTTTTATTATTTTGACAAAATAATGTATAATTCACATAAGAAGCTATGTATTTTGAACACCGTATGCAGTACCAGCGCCCATGCGGGTAATTATAGAAGCTCAATTAGCATGCGTTTTTTGGGACCGTATTTTGAGTATGCCGATTCGCCTCCTTATCTCTAGTCTTCATAGTTATGATACAGGGTTTGGTTTGTTCAAACGACTAATTTGTGTCTAATCTAAAACTTTGTTTGAAAAAATGTTTTAGTAAAAGTTTTTGTAGGTTTTCTGAATTATTGGGTTTGTTCAGGTTTCTTTAAAATTTGACGCAAACCATCTGAGAACCAGTGGAACACTTGAATTCCAAGTTATTCGTCCACTGGTCCGCTAGTCCTCTAATAGTTTTTAATGTATTTTTGAAGGGCCCGAACAGAAGAATACCTACTAATTGTCGATAGAAATATTATCATAATTAAAAAACTGGGATTTCTTGAACACATAATTATGATTCAGACAGTTATTCTCTTTAGATATCAATTTTAATTTACGCTGATATTATCCAGCTCCTTACAAACTTTATAGTGATTCAATTTGAATTTTTTTTCTGTTGCTTTCAATAACTTGTTAGTAATGTTTCTCACAAATTAATTATTTAACTTTTTTCCCTTTTTTTAGACATCTTGTCAAAGAAATAAAATGTTTTTCCCTTTTCGCCACGCACTTTCACGAAATTAATGAACTAGCCGAGATGTATGGTAATGTTGGAAATTTGCACGTTTCTGCAGTTGTTTCTGAAAACGTTATTACTCCACTTTATTCTGTTCGAGAAGGAGAATGCGATAAGAGTTATGGAATACATTGTGCCAAAATGGTGGGCTTTCCGGAAGACGTCATACAGGTATTATTTCTTGTCACTCTTAATAATTATTTTTTTATTCGAATTTATCAAAAACGTATGTCATTGTATTTAAGTATCCCAAATTTTATAACTTTACATGTACGTGAAAAATAAGACTGACAGTCAAAAGGAAAACAAAACAAAAATCGCTGGAGGAAAATTGTTAATTTTAAAGGAATATAAAATTTGTAAAAGTGTAAAGTACCGTCACTTCTTCGATCATGTTGAATAACTTTTGTTAACCTTTTTCATTTTTCACTTCCATTTTTGTAAAACTTGACATTTAGAGAAAGTTTACATTTTTATATCAAATCGAAAAACCTTGTGATGCTTCTAAACATAAAAATTTGAAAGCACTATATTTCACGTTATTATTTCTCATTGTTCGACTTTTTATGTGGTACACAATGTATAATAGTCTAAGATCCGAAGTAAGGTCGACCTTCACCCATCTGTTTAATGGATGAAAGTTTCTTTTTAATAAATAAAATATATTCATAAATGTACCGCAAATGGGTTGCCTAAGAAAATACGATCCAGACTATTTATTTTCTTAAAGTTAAAAAAATGACACCCTGTAAAGTATTCTCCAGATGCTTCGACTATGTCCAAACTATAATCAGCTCACCGCAGAGTGGATTAAAGCTTAAATTTAAAATTTGATGTTTTTCTCTTGATCCATTTTTAAGTTATCTTCAAAATTCGAAATTTTCCTCAAATATCTCGAATTAGGTCCATTTTAGGGAAATCATGTAAGGTAACAAAATAATAGAGAATGACATCATAAGCAACTTTTATGATTCCTATGCTTTCCTTATCTACACACAGAAAGAAAAGTAAAAAATTGCCGTGACCGTATTTTCTTAGGCAACCCATTTGCGGTATATTTAAAACTTTTATCCATTAAACAGATGGGTGAAGTTCGACCTTACTTACGGATCCTGGACTATAAGTTTTAAGTATTCACTTGATAAATAATTTAAAATAACTATTTTCACATTTATTCAAAAACATAAAATTAACAATTTTAATTTAGCGTTTTTTGTATACTTATAAAAATATAAAGCAAATACTCGTATATCTTTCATTTGCTTTAATAGTTCATTTCTTTTAGGATGCTGTAGAACATCAGAAACATCTAGAACACCAAAGTGGAATGAAACTGTTAACCAATTTTAATCAGACAGAAAAGCGAAAAGTAATTTCAGTAAGTATTTACAAATCTTGTTTTTCCTGTCTAGAATGTATTTGGTCAAGCATATCGGCATCAGCTCTACTTCTACACTTCTCGCATCCATCGACTTCTTCAAATTATTAGCTACATGCTGCAGTCTTCGAACATATATATTTCATAGAGTCCGCATTCAACAGCGTTTGTTTTAGGATAAGAGGGGAAATGTGCAGACACTATTACCAGTGTCGCATCATTTTTACGGGTTTGCAATTAATATAAATAATAAATTTGATACAAATTTAATTTAACTAAATTAGTTATAATAATTTTCATTAAATTCCAAAACCTATACTCGGACAAAATATTGAAGAAGGTGATTCCTCCCTGTTCACGTACAACAATAATACTATACCAGAACATAATGAATCGAATCACGCGCTTAAAACTGCAGAAGTTATCGGTATCACGTGCCAACTAGTCATAAATGCATGTTTATTGCCAAAATGAATTACGAATTACACCAGTGGCGTATAAAAACTATTGACAAATTAAATGCGGTAATAGTAAATAATATTATATGAAAGTAGGTTGGTTATCTATTTTTGTAGTAATAATCATTTGTTTATAATTTTGTTTTATTTATTGTTAAAATATGTAAATATTATACCAGTGGCGTAAAAACACTATTGGAAAATTAAATGGGGTATTATACTAAAACAAAATATTGAAGAAGGTGCGCTTTAAAACTGCCAAAGGTATCGTTATCATATCAAAATGCACTCTTCCAGTGTCGCAGAAATACTATATTGGCAAATTAAATGGGTATTTGTGAATATTACTAGATGAAAGTAGGTTGGTTATCTCTTTTTGTTATAATAATTCATCTATGTTTATAATTGTATTTTATTTATTATAAAAATATGTAAATTAAGCTTGGTATCACTTACTTGAATTCTAAATCTATGAAGTTTCATAATCCATTGATTCTGCAGAACTATCACTGGAATCGTCTTTATCGTCGGAACTTAAAGTTATGACTAAAGGTTCAACTACCGTTTCGATCATACCGTCCAAGCGCCACGTATTATTTTCTTCCTTAATTACATGGGAAATAGCATTCTGCCAATCTTCAGGTTTTATACGTTCTATAACGGTTTTTAATAAACTTTGAACGTCGGGTATTTTAAAAGTTTTATTTTCTCGAGCTACAAACCCTTTCACTTGCGCCCTTATTAGTTCAATAGGATTGAATTAGCAGTGATAAGGGGGAAGTCTTAGTACTGTAATACCACGATCACGAGCCATTGTGTTGACAACATATTGGATATATTTATGGCGGTGTTCCTTTATTAGGTCCATTAATTCCACTTTAAGCATCTCCTCAGTAAATGTTATTGCTTTATCCCGCAGCCAGGTTTGCATATCCGCTTTCCTACTGGACATTATCGGAATGAGTTCAACTAGTCTACTGTGATAAAAAGCGTTATCTAGTACAATAACTGAATTTCGTTCTACACGCTGTAATACTTCAGTAAACCATTTTTCAAAGCATTCCGCATTCATGTCCTCGTGGTAGTCTCATGTTTTTTTCGATATAAACACAAGAGCGCTATTTTCCAATAATCCGCTGTCACTTCCGATATGGGTAACAATTAGGCACTTTCCTTTACCTGATGGTGCTTTCAAACCTGTAGATAATCCCTCTATAAAAGCTTGGCGATGACTAGTTACAGAAGTATCTTGCCATATCTTAGATACCGTGTGTCCAGCATTCACCCACGTTTCATAGAGATATTATATATTTTTTTTAGCGGCTCGAAACTTTTTAATATTTTGTAAATAACGCCGTCGCCAGGACACTATATCTGACCTCTCAATTAAAATTGATTTCCTACACCGTTTGACAAAACGAAATTTTAGGCCCCATAAAATTTTTCGTAAAGTTTCACGGCTCATTAATGGAATTTTTTCGTTTTCTCTTAATTTCGTAAGATCAACTTTAAGAGCTGTGGCTTTGTTTTCGAAAAAAAAAAAAAAAAAAAAAGTACAGTTCTTCGAATGATTTGTTTTTTGGTTATCGTCCAATTTCAAAAATTTTCGACCACGGGTATGCGTTTTAGGGGCTTCTAAGGAGCCTTTTTTGTCTTGTACAATACGTTCAGTTGTTGAAACAGATACTCCAGTTAAAAAAGAACTGCGGTTTACAGCTTCATTTGTAGAAAGTGTCTGTTTCAGCCCATCATACACTTTCCATATAATGTTCTTTTCATCCTTTGATAAGGGCTTTCGCCGACGTAATTGGGTTTCACTTGGACCCGCCTCTGAATCCATTACTATTGTAACAATATAATTCTACTATTAAATTGTTTTTATTAAATTTATGAGGACACCAATATTTTACTATTTAATAAACTTTTAAAGTACCTACCTAATATACTACACAATAAATATAACTCCTCGAATATGCACTACCACTACCAAATTGTAAGGCACAAACATGAACACCTACTCGTATATCAGAAAAGAGCACTTATACAAAAAAGTGTTTATAAAATATAAAATAATTGTCGTAAATGGTTAAAGGGATACCAATCTAACTTCGTCGAAAGTTAGTTTTCAACTGTCTTTGTGCCTGTGCTGACAATATTCAATCTGTAACCCGTCTGTCGTTTATTTACTTGAAACACATTTTAAAACCATTAAACACAGATAACGAAGTCATTAGGGAATAAATATATTCATTTCTTAAAAACTATCAAAAACGTATATTTAACGCATCATCTTTGTTTAAATAAAGATGTTGACAAACAAATTTAATAAAGTTTACTAACAAATACCTAATAAATAATTATTTGGTATTTGATACGCGGCCTATGCTAACTCTGTCGGAATTTTCATTCATAGGCAACAGTGTAGATCTCCAATATTTTATCCGAGTATAGTTAATGTTAAGTTGGATATCAAGTATTTTGAACTAGATGTGGCAATAGAGCTTGCATTTTGTACGTTTTTTATTATCGACGTACAATGGCTTACACATATACTTATCATGGGTGGACAAAGGAGTATAAGCCAAAAATTTCGAAACTGAGTAAATATATGTTATAGGTCTTATAAGTCGACTTATACTGATTTTCCCACCAAAAACAAGATATTTTTGTAATTTATATTATGAAGTCCCAGTTTAATAGCGATCCTAATAGAAAATATTGACTTAACCCATGTTTTATCCAAGTATAGATGTCTGAAACTAATTTACCCAAAATTTTGACTTATTATACTCCTTTGCCCATACACGATAGATATATTCATTGATAAAATTGTTTTGTAGGGCTGTCAAATCCTTCAGTTTATCCCTTCCCTTACCTAACATCACATGTCTCTTCATTCCTGCTCCACAACTGTACCGAATAGATGTCGGCGTCACGTATATTATATTTTATCAATATCTCCTGTTATCTCTGGCAGTTATACAAAACATGCGATATGTTTGTGCAATTCGTCCATCTACATTACATTGTTTAAATAATGATTAACAGTCATGCGTCATACTTCATGTTTAATTATAACTACTATGTAATTTTTAGGAAGGTGACTTAATAGTGAAGAACTCTATCAAGAAGCTAAAGGCACTGGATTTGGATAATATGAGTGATGAAGATCTAATGAATGAAATAAGTAAAATTAAAAAAGAATTATCCTCAGATGATAATTTGTTTGTTAAAGGACTCTTGTCAGTTTAAGTTTTTACAATAATTAAATGTATTTCTTTTTAATAGTGTATTTTTAAAATATGAACATGTCAAATTACTGTTCAACTAATTTGCATTGGTTAATTCTGAGGTACACGCCATAACATCAACTTTGTACCTAATTACAGTAACAAGTATTTTAATAGAATTCATTATAAAATCAGTAATACCGTTACACTTTGGCGCCCAACGTGGGGCATTTCAACTTTGGATTCGACATAAGTGGTTTAAAACAATAATTGGAGATTTCAGAAAATTTAAAACGAATTAAATTTTTTTAGTTTTATTTACTATTTATTTTTCAGAAAAATATTTTTATTTACCCGACAACGCCACATTCGTTGGTTTTTTTTTGTTTTCTAGTTTAGAAGCTATGCACCGGAAATGGTTGGCCCAGTCTACATAAACGTCCTTTTTTAATATTTGGGCTAGGCAAACTTCTTTCAGCCAGACCCAGATTCGTCTATAATTAAAACTATTCAAGAATATTTTCTATTAAGAAGTGTGAGAAGAAAAACGATATATGACATCGCTTCTATAAACGTCATAAATCACAACAAAATATTAGTTTGAAAATATTTTATTAGAAATAATACCATTACATAGTATTACAAACAGAACTTAAACATTTTCATCAACTAAGCATAACATTTACAATACCTTTTCATCAATTCTAAATACCTGAACACTGACTAAACTCTTTCAATACTTCTAAATCTCTCATAAGCATCTGCATAGTATTTCTCGTTTTAGGATATTCATATTCATTCTCTATGTTCAAGTTTGCCTCCAAGTGATCTATTTGCTTTTCGAAATCGTCTAATCTTTCTTTAACCAGCAAATGTTGATAATTGAGATGCTCCAATAAATTCAGTCGACAATCAGCCGAATCTATGACGGCTTCTGGTTGTGGAATCATGGGACCGTTGTTTTCCATTAAAGTGTTCAAATCGAGTTTCGGCATCACGTTTTTACCTAAAATAAGTTAAAGAATTTATAATTCCAAGAAATATTTTACCTAATTTGAAACTATTAACACCCTATGGCATAAATCTGGAAATTCATTTGCAAATTTAGTCCAGTATTTGGAGTTTTCCGCTCCAATTGACGCAAAATTTGGACAGCAAGCATGGAATGGCTTAAGGAAGAAACGTTATATAGTATCGATGTACGCTTTCACCAAATTAATAAACTATATATAATGAAAGACTGAAGTATTATAAGAAAAAAATGTTCTATGAAGTTTTTTTCGATAAATCAATATTTTTAGAGTTTTTCTAGATACCTGTTCAACTGTAAATACCACAATGGTGCGTTTATTACCTGCTTTCAGGATCATCATTAGCATCGAGTTCTCATTTTGAGATTCCTTTTCCTCATCAAAGTCGCTTTTAAGAAAATCTGGACCATCATTTTCAATTTTCGGCTTGGCATCTTCCATGTCTGGTTTAATTTTTTCTGGAAGAGGTAATTTAGGCCATGCCTTCGACCATAAATACAATTTTGGGTGATTTTTGGCTCTGAAATTACGATTTAACAAATATTTTTATAATTGATCAATTATTTTACCTAATAGTTTTTTAATAAATACAAAAGTATCTGTAATTTTTGTCAGTTTAATAATCAACATGTAGAAAGTCTACAATCAAGTGATAAAATCCGGTGGTATATAGGGTGTTTCATAACATGCAAGGGGTTATTCCTTGGACTATTCTAAGAATATTTTGTTATTCGATGATTTGTGCAAACCCTCTTTGTTTCGAAGATACAAGGTGAACAAAATTTGGACAGAAAGTACATGTAAAGTTGCTTAATCTACAATAAATGTTCAAAATTTCCTCCAGCTTGGATACAAGCATTCAATCTTCTCATCATTGACTGTCGCAAATTTTGACACTCTGAAAGACAGTTAAGTTAGACATCTGTTTTTCGATGGATGAATTTGGATCATTTCAATAGAAAATATAAAAATCAATATTTTAGAAGTATACAGGGACATTATCGTCTTGGGTTATTTATGCACACAAATTTACGCAAACCTTGATGGCAAAATTTAATAGTTAGCTATCCAACTATTGAATTGCCACTGTTCGTTAGCTCAAGGGGAGCACCTATACTAGCCATCCATTCTACTAGGTTTGAACCATAAAGTATATGTGAACATCAACATAGTAAGTTAACCAACTGGCCAATTGGCGCTGTTCGTTAACTCCGTTGGTTATCACCTCTATACTCGTTGAAATAAATACCTAAAACTATCTAGAGCAAATATCAGTCAATATTTGGTCTAGTGAAATAGTCGTCCCAAATATAACACGACCTTGATTAATATTTTGCTATTTTTATTGTTGATAAATTTCTTACGGTTTGATTCTACATAATTTTGGTATTAATAATTAATTGATTAAAGCCCTCGAGCTAAAGCTCTCGGGATCAGATTATTAATACCAAAAATTATGTCTTATCAAACTGATATTAAAATATTCTCGAGATTTAGATTCAACAAAAATAGCTGACTATCATCAAGGTCTTGGTATATTACCCTTGATCGTTTCCCTCGCCTGTCAACTTTGACATTGAAATTTATGTAATCAGTGACATGTTATTCCGCCTTTCTATCTAGTTTGGTTTGTTTTTAATCCTTGTTTGAGTAAGACGTTGTGTCGGAGTGTCGCGATCATGATAAGTCCCTAAAATTAAAAAAAAAAAATATCTCCAAATGAGTATTTTTAATTGTTAAAGGAGGTGTTTAGAGTTATTACATGTCACATAGTCAAATTTTTGAATGACTCAAACGAGTTTCTGAAGATCGGGAGATTTTTGAAGATGACGAACGTTCCGATCGACCTGTGACATCAAGAACTGATAAAAACATGGAAACCTCAGGACCAAACTGTAAACTAGCAGTACTACTAAGGTCCTGACAAAACTTAGAGAAAGATCGAGGAAGAAAAGGCCAGATCTGTGGAGCAAGAACTCGTGGATTTGTACCAAGACAGCTACCCGACGCACAAAGCCATGCCTTTGGAAGTAGTAGCCATTGAAAATTAACCAAGAAGGACGAACGAACGCCAGGTTTAATCTAAGGTGTCAGTAAACCGTGCCGAGGGATGAATAGCAGCTGTGCCTGCATCGAAATAGCTGTGTCAAACGGTACCTCGGGATACCGGCCGCCCTCACGAGTAAGTAGGCTTGCCCGTCTAAGGCGGGGCTCTGGACGAGTTGACGTATCTTTCCGCAGCTACTCATGGGAACAATATGGACCTAGAAAACACAACTAACTCAGAAACTTCTACTGCTGAACAGGCAAATGTGTCACCAGCAGTAGTCGAACAAGAGCAATCTCAGGCAGAAGTGCCAGAGATAGCGAAACAGGCCACGGAAGTTGACCAGGCAAATGTGCCAACAACATCTAAAAGGCCCAAATCCAGAAGGGTCACATCCGAAGAGGAGATTGACCTAATGTCAGACAGAAGTCAAATTCTTTGTCATATCCGGTCGAACGAGAGCAAGGCTAAACAACCTGGTAAAATCTGGACAAGATTTCATTGCTCCCAAACGAGGCATAATCAAGGAAAACTTTGTCAGATCCCAAGTTAAGTTACCTCAAACTTCGACTACCGAGGCCAGCCAGGTCGATAAAAAGACCACAAAAAGGCCAAGATCGGAAGGAAATACTCCCCCTGCAGATCGGAAAGTGGAAAAGAAGGCCAAAATGGAAGGGGTAACTTTCAAAGAGGCCCTTACCACTACAAAGATCGAAGTGGTGAGAACCGGCTTTCCAGGGGCACTTATGGAAACGAAGCAGCAAACAGCTGTCGAAGAATCAATCATAAGTACCTACGAAGGTATCCCCATGGGAGGGCCACAGGTGCGTTTTGCCAAATGCACACACAGGCCGGGATACATAGTAGTACGTTGTGCAGACAGCCTTAGTGCACAATGGTTGAATGATGTGGTGCCCATGCATAGGCCCTGGGAGGGTGCAACCCTCGAGGCTCGGCAGGACATCGACATCCCAAAACCAAGGATATGTACAACGTACATAGCAGACGAGGGTGGGAAGAGTCTGAGGGTCAGCAACAACACCCTTAAAATCAACCTCTGGAAGGTTTTGACCCCAACTCCAATGGAGAAAGGCCAAACTTGGGCCATCTCCGTGGACGAAGGGTCATTTACCGAAAAAGGTCCAACTGATATCAAAGGCACCGACAGTTTTTGTCGGTTCTCCTTAATCGGTTTTCTCGGATTAACTAATGTGTTACTTAAATACCTGAAAGGATTGATTAAAATAGTACTTTTAGTCTACGAAGTGCAAAAAAGAATCAGATAAATAATATAAAAGTACTCACTCTGCAATTTTCATTTTAATCTTCAAATTATGTTGGTAATGACCCAATTCGATCAAGCCTCCGGATATATCATGACATTTTTTCATCTTATCAAATCTCTTGTGTAATACTTGATCATCCCGAGTATGATAGCTACCGACTGGTAAGACGCCCTTCGTCAGCCAATCTTGATCGTGATAGTACTTTCTAGATTGTCGTTCCCGCAATGGATTCTGGCAAATGTAACAAACGTATTTTTCCGGTACTTGATTTTCTCGTTCTATGTTATTACAGTAAGCGTGTTGCCAACACAGACAGAGCTCGCATTGTATCATCAATCCATCTTCTTCCATAAATCCGCAGGTACAGTTGATGATTTCTTCTTGCTTCATTCTGACTATTTTTATAACTTCCCCTCCTTCAATAATAATGTTATTAGGGGATTTATCGGGAATAGGTGGTTGTGTTTCGGGTTTTAGGGTGATTGCAGATGATGAAGGTTGGAAATGAGGAGATGGAGGTAAATTATGTGGAAGAGAAGGAATTGGTGTAGAAGTTATTGTTGTTTTTTGCTGATCAGATTCTCTACCTTTAGCAATTTCATTAGTCTCTATATGGCTTCGTTTACGTTTGTTTGATTGTTTTGGATAATAATCTTCGAATTGCTGATCACCTATTTAGAGAAAATGCGAAAGAAATAAATGATTTTTCATTGCTATTTCATAAACAAAACACAAACAATTGGTTACACAAAGTTGGTTCTTTGAGAATGATTTGAAATAAAAAATTTCAGGGACGGTTTCTGGGATATTCTACCAATAATGAAAAATGTTTAAAATAAATGACAAAATAGACCCTACTAAATATTTATTTCTTAAAAAATTACTAAGTAATTAAAATTGGAAAAAAAAGTTAGGTATTTAAACTTTAAAGCGCTATGTTTTCTATTTTTACATTTGGCAACGGTGTAAGGTTGTTTCTTAGGGAACTTCCGAGTATAGCACTCTGTGCCTTTACTAATTAGACCACTGGAACACACAAGTATTAATTTTGTAAGGGGAGGGAATTGGGGATTATATCTTCACATTTCTAAAATTAAAAAATAATATTTAACATGAATTTTGTAAAGAATTTTCAAAAGCGCTTTTAAATATGATATTTTATCTACTATTAAATTGGTAGTTAGATGTGAGGTTGTTTTAACAGCCAAGCATAGAATAAAGGGTAAATTGATTTTTTTTAAATTTTAGAAAAACGTACCATTCGGTTTTTTAAAATCACTCTTAATATGTACTTGTAATTCAATAACGCCTTGTATATATGAATTAATGAAAGCCTAAATATATACAGAGCATTCAATATAAAAACCGATGCACGTCAAAGATTACAGTCATTGGTACCACACACACTAATAAAAATAGTTAAATTTTATTTTGAAAATAAATGAATAAATTTAGACGCATGGAGTTCATTTTTATAAAATTGCATATTAAAAATGTATTTTTTATCATATCACAGTAATAAATGTACTGTAGTGAATTTCATAATAAAAGTTGACATCAAATGTGTCAGCTTTCAATTTTAATACATTGTTGTCAATTGTTATTTGTTTTGTATTATTTTGCATCGATCGATTTCTTTTCAACAAATTATTTGTATTTTAGATTAAATTATTATAGTCTATTTTTATGTATGAGAGAGTAATAAAACAGCATTTCTAATGCAAAAAAAACTTAGTACGGTCATTTTAAATATTTTTACAGAATAATCTAAATATTTCCTAAAATTGTAATAAATGTACCTGAGCTATTACAAGTTTTGGGTCTTTTATTGGTCCTTTATAAACATAAGCTGTACAGAACAATAGAAAAAGGTTTAGACAGGCCAAAAGCCCTGTGTATTAAAGATTACATAGCCGTATCTTAAGATTATTTTCAATAAGTACCTATTTGCCAATTTTGTTTTATTTTAATTCCAAGAATTTCTTACAGTAATCAAATTATAAGTAGATAAATACCTTCCCAACAAATTTCACCGAAAATGCGATTATAGGTTTTCCATTTAGTAAGGAGGTCCAAGTTGTGTATTCTTGACAGTTTACTAAATGTCGTTTAGTTGCAACTTGCAAGGTGCAGTGTGAATTCTAGTGTGATCATGGAAAAAACAATTAATGAAAAAACATTAATATTTAATTGTTTTAAATCATTTACAGAAAAACATTTATGTAAAAGTGTTGATGACACAGTGGAATTAGTTAGTAGTACGCTTGGTGTTGGGAAATCTACGATTTACAGAGTTATTAAAGAAGAGAAATGTGGCGAGTTTCAAACAGCACGTAAAGCTCCAGGAAAACCAAAATTTCAATTAGAAAATCTTTTGAAAGAAAGACTTCGAAGGAAAGTGCATGCTTTCTTCTTTAGAAAAGAATTTCCGACAGTAGACAAAGTTCTTGCCACGGTTCGAGATGATAAGGATTACCCTGAAATGAGTCGAAGCACACTATGGAAACTTTTAAAAGAAATATGTTTTCTATGGAAAAAGCATTCCAAAAAGTCTATTTTAATAGGAAGAAGCGATATTGTAGTATGGAAAAGAAATTACCTAAGGACTATAAAAGAAATGAGAAACCAAAGAAGAAATATATTTTATTTAGATGAAACATGAATCAACGAGGGACATAAACCAAATAAAACTGTTACAAGTCGAAGACATGCTTTTTTAAATAATTTATGTACTGGTTTAAATCCACCATCAGGAAAGGGGCGCAGACTAATAATAGTACACATCGGTAGTTCAAACGGTTTTGTTAAAGGTGGTTTATTGACTTTTGAATCTACTCGTACCAGTGACTACCATGAGGACATGAATGCTGATGTCTTTAAAGAGTGGTTCGAACAAATTATAGATCTTCTTCCTCAGAACTGTATAATAGTAATGGATAATGCAAGTTATCACTCGAGACTTATAGAAAAAATGCCCACATCCAAGTGGTTAAAAAAAGATTTACAGAATTGGCTAAATTCAAAGAATATTAAGTTCCATCCCGGTTCTGTGAGAAAAGAACTGTATCATTTGTGTTCCCTTCATAAAGAGAAATTCAAAAAATATGAAATTGATGAAATTGCAAAAAATCGTGGGATGACGGTGGTTAGATCACCACCATATCATTGCGAAGTAAACCCGATTGAACTGATATGGGCACAGATAAAGGGAGAAGTTTCAAGAAAAAATAATTCTTTTAAAATGAGTGATGTTAAACAGTTGTTTTTGGAGGCTGTAAATAATGTGAAGCCTGAAAACTGGGAAAAGGCAGTAAATCATACGATTAAAGAAGAAGAGAAAATGTGGAAGTTGGACAATATTACTGATGAAATGATCGAGCCACTCATTGTAAATATTGGTTGCGACAGTTCATCTTCTGATTTCGATTCTGATTTGGATTTGTAGGTAAGAAGTAGTTTTTATATTAAAATTATTATTTATGAACGTAACGTTGTTTAAAAGTCAAAGTTTAAACCCTTATATCTACATAACCCGTTTGACACAATGTTCTTAACATACCTTGTGGAAAAATAAAACATTTTAGAAAAATTGCACTTTTTTACCTTCAGCTGTTTAGAAGTTATAAGCAGGTTAATTAGGTGAAAATATAAGTGTATACTCAAGGAATAACTTCAAAAAATATTTAAACTGTCTACTAAAAGAAGTGATACGCCTATGGATTACGAACATTTTATTATTTTAATACTCTCTCATACATAAAAATAGACTATAACAAACTGTTCTTTTCAGAACAAATTTATTATGTATTTTTTCATTGAAAAATGCCAAAACAATTAAATAGTCGCTGCAAGGAACTAGTGGCTTCTCTAATAAATTATTTTAAGAAAGAACGTGATAATAATGGGCCTTTGTTACCTTTAACAGCTGTAAGAGAAGTGAGTTGATTAATAATGTATCACCGTCAAATTAATATAATTATTTTGTTTCAGCGTGTCGCAGAAGCACTTAATCTCAATTTTTCTACTGTTAGTTCTATTTTACAAGCTGTAAAGAACAGTGAAGTTCTAAAGTCACCACCAAAAAAGCGCCCTAGGCAAAAGAAAGTTACCAACACAAGAATTCTGAATACCAGTGCTATTCGAGATGTTATTTATAGCATGTACGAGTCTAGTAAGTGTATATGTATATAAATTATTATTAAACAATTACAAATTAATGTATAATTTCAGAGGAGCATGTAAGTTTAGATTCTTTGTTGGTGAAACGTAATGAGGAGTTGTTCAATGGATGTCGCACATCATTCCATACCTTATTATTAGAAATAGGTTTCAAATGACAGAAAGATGAACCAATGCGAGGTCTTATGGAACTTCCAGATATTGCCGTGAAACGGGCAGAATTTTTAAGAAAATATACCACAGAAAAGGAAGCAAATTTGTACCAGTTTGTTTTTATTGATGAGACTTGGATTTTCCAAAATGGTACCATAAACCGTTCTTGGTAAGACAGCAATAAAAGAAGTGTAAAAAGTACAAAAGTTGATGGTAAAAGGTTAAAAAAAAAAAACTAATGAATATATACATGTTAACTGTATATTGATCTTTTTTATAGATATATAATTCTTCATGCTAGAAACGAAAATGGATTTATTGATGGTGCCAAGGCCATATTTGCTTCAAAAAACAATGATTATGATTATCACGGTGAGGTGAATAATGAAATTTTTTTAAAATGGTTCAAAGAACAATTGCTTCGAAGACTGCATGAACCATCTTTAATTGTAATGGACAATGCTTCATACCATAGCACATTGGCACACAAAACACCGAATAGTAATTCGACTAAGGTTCAAATTCAAGAGTGGTTGACGAATCAGAACATACCTTATTCAGTCACCATGTTTAAGGATGAACTTTTGAACCTTGTTAGACGGTGAGTAATGGAAATCTACTTTTTCTGTATTTTTTAAATGAATTTATTTTTTTAGTAATAAACCACCAAAAATATATTATGTAGCTGATATGCTGGCTGAACAGTATGGACATAAGGTGTTACGTCTTCCTCCTTACCATTGTATTCTTAATCCAATAGAACTGATTTGGGGTATTTCAAAACAATATTATAACAGGCACATTGGTCGGGATGGAAAGACACAAAGAGATTGTATAGACATGTGGTCTGAAGCACTCCGAACCATTACCACACAAATTTGGACAAACTGTGTAAGACACACTGAAAAAGAAATTTTTAAATGGTGTGAAAGAGCATATACTGGACCGATTGGAAATTGCTCCTATTATTATAACACCAAATAGAGATTATTCTGATTTTAGTTCTGATTATTCTGACTGCTAGCTTAAATATTATTTAAGTTTTAAAATGTCATGTGTTGTTAATTTTATTACCTAATTGTTCTAATTATTGTTACTTCTTTTAAATATGGATGCTTATAAACTAACTGAACATAATTATTTTTTATTGTAAATTAAATCAAGCCTAAATAAAATTTGTTTTTTCATCCTTAACCTAACCTTTTTTTGTCATTTTAAACCTCTTGTGCAAAATTTATTACTATTAAATTCAGTGTTTTTCTAAAACTTCAATTTAAACATTATCAATGACCTTCATTGGCTTTTATATAGAATTCATTATACATTTAAAATTAATTGTTCCTAATAACATAGCCAAAAAAACATAACCTCATAGTTTTAAAAATTCCTACATTCTTAGACTATTTTGAAGATTGGGCAACACTGCAAGGCTATGAATTTACAACTGATTGATGACGTGTATCGGTTTTTATATTGAATGCTCTATAGGTTCTTTAAATGTTAAAAAAAAAACTATCCTGGTATATTTACAAAATTTATAGTGTCATCTATAAAAATATTGTGCGAGTCATTTTCGACTAGTTCGGTCCTACTCTAGTCCCTCTCCGTCTTATTTGGGCCTCTTACAGTCTCCAATTTTCCAATTACCAAGAATAAAATGCCTATGCTTGGTCACCTCTAGTCAAAGTGAATCATTCATTGTAGAATGTACTGGAATGATGAGGACAACGCCTAGACAATTTTGGTGGATAGACTATTTTATGAAATGGTGAAAGAACCAGTCTCGCATGTTCTAAGAATGTTCATGAACGCCATATTTTTACATAAATGATCCAAATTTACCATTATAAATTCAGTTTTTAGTTAGATATTGTTGTGTTAAAACAAAGGCGCATATATGGGGGGGGGGGGGGGGTAATGGGGGTAACTACCCCCCAATAATTTTTAAACCTAACTTTTTATAGGTACTAAAGTGTACTATTATCAAAATTAAAGTGTTAAATATGACCACTAGAATTAAAGTTTATTATCACCAGAAACGACGAAGGGAGGAGCTGTAGGATGTTTTTTTTTATAAATTTCACAAAGAAAGAACCTAATTTTTATAAAATGCCCCTATGGCTCCCTGCGGCCCTGATTACCACAACTCATCCAGACAAACTCTGGATGCGCCACTGTGTTAAAATAAATATTGTTAAAGTAAATTGGTATATAAGTATTTGTCATATTGGGTATAAATAAATTATGTTAATAAATAAATTAGTGCCTTAGAGAATATAAAGTAAATAAACAATGCCATATTCTAGAAAATGGTGGAGCTTCTGTTCTCACGTGTTCTAAGAACGTCTGGAATGTTCATCGGCGCCATATTTTTACAGAAATATCCCAAGTTTACCATTATAGTTTCAGTTTTTAGTTAGATATTGTTGTGTTAAGATAAATAGTGTTAAAGTAAATTAGTGTATAAGTATTTGAGATAAATGTTGTATTAAGTATACATAAATAAATTAGTGTCTTAGTGAATATAAATTAAATAAACAAAAACATACCTGAAGAACATTCTGCAGGAGGGCGATGACCCGGAAGAAGAGTTTTTATACCAGCCGGCTTCGTTTTGTAAATACTTCTTGGAGTTGAATCATCTCGTTTAGGAACACCGTCGGTCCTAGTTAGCAAATCTTTTAATTTTATACCTGTAAAAGGGCTTGTTGGCGTTCCAATTACGGGTGGTGATTGAATACCATCCGTATCTTGTTTATTATACGGTTTTGTATTTAGCAATTTAATAATTTCCGAATCTTTGGTTTTGGGTTTAGTAACGGGTTTTAGTTCGGGCATTTCTTCTATGCCAGAAGCCGAATGTTTGGGAGTTTTCGGTGTAGTTTTGACAGCTGGTTTCAGTGGTGGTGGTTTTTGAGGTCCTATAATATAATTTTTATTACAATCATGATTTCATAAAAAAATAACAAAAAACAAAATAAAGAACAGTTGGTAGTTGTACATAATCGAAATGTACAAATCTAGACACCAAAAATTGTTGTTTTTTCAATTTTACTTTTAATGGTATTTGTAACTAAATAATAATATATATAAGAATAAAAAAAGCAACACTATAAAAAAATACGTATCCAAAACTTTTTATAAGATTTTGTTAATAACAAATTGAATATTAATAATTACTTAGAAAATGGGTATCCATCCTGAAGTCATAATCCTCTGTGAGTGCATTGAAAAAAATAAAATTAATTTGATCAAAATCACCATATTAAAGTTCTAAAAGTTTTATTGTAAATTAAATTTAAAAATGTTAAAACCAACTTGATCATTCGAGCTAATATGGTTGTTAACAAATCCACGCCATTAAAACTTATTTTTTCATCTTCACTTGATGCATCAGAAATAATACACAATGACAAGAAACTTAAAAATAATAATCAATTTACAAATATGATCATTGCCTCCGATAAAACTCCCCTACAATCTCAGCAATATAAACTGAAGTTAAAAAGAAAAGAAAAATTACCACCCATTGCTACAATGTTGGAATAGTTTAATAAAAAGTTGAATACCAAAAAGGAAAGACAAAAGGAAGAACGGAAATTAGCTAGAGAAGAGAAAAAAAGGAATTTGGAACAAAAAGGCAGAATCTAAGCAAAATACCAAGTTCTTCAAATGATTCTTCTACTCGGTTTTCTCTTCAAGTATCTGACATGTCAGAAACATTAGAAAGTGAAGATGAAGAGGACGTATTAATTGCCAATAACATGAGTTATAGTGAATTAAAGGAAGGGCGATTATATTCTTACCCAATTTAAGGGTGGCAAACGAAATTCGTCGGAGTTTAAATTAGTGTGTGTTGTTCAAACATTAATTTCATCTGAAAATATTGTTGTTATGGGTTGTAAATGCATTGATAAGAATTTATAGCAGTTGAAAAGGACATCAGCGAAATCAATTTTTGTCAAGTGTTAAAAAATTGGAGCAGCCTGAATTAGTGTAGAAGGGTGAAAGGGTTAGCTATAGGTTTAAGGCAGTAGTCGCCAACCTCTCAATGTATTGAGCTACTTTGTTAATTTTGGAATAAACAGCGAGCTACCCACACGAAAGCCACGTAACGCAACGTAAATGAAATAATCCACAGTTAATTTATCATTATATGTATTTATTTTACTATTTAACTGGTAATACATAATACATAGGTACTAATAATAAACTAATAACAAAATAACTAATATTACTAGTACGTACTTGTTCATAGCTACATTCCTACCTACCAAACGAAGGTGTTTGAAAAATAATCACAAACTTTTATCCAGCCACAACGGCATGTCACGTAAGATTTAAAAATAGTTAATAATAACAACAACAAAAAAGTAACGCACTATCATGAACATAAACATTGAAAAATAAAAAAGCAAAAAGCAGACTCATCATAATTTTTTTAATGTTTGCAGTATAATTTGATACAGCCATTCGAATACAATTATCCAAATGTTCATCTGTAAGTCGATTGCGATACTTGTTTTTAATAAACTTCATATTGGAAAGAGAAGATTCACACAAATAGGTTGAACTGAATAATACTTTCACTTTCAAGGCAACACGGCATAGAACTGAATATTTGTCTTTACTTACAATAGGCCAGATACATTTGGTACTTGAGACTAACGATTTTAAGGCTAAATCATTTTGAAACTCAATTACTTCCATTTCTGTTGCAGCGATGTCTTCGCCAAAGTTCTGCATAACACAAGTTGCAAACTGTTGGATATCAATTTCCATAAAGGGTGAAACAACAAACTGCGCTACTAAAGCCATTTCGTTGAAATACTTAAAACGATTTTTGAAGTTATTCTTCAGGGTAGAAACTATTTCTACATGATATTTGCTGTCATAGGGTTCTAATGGATTTTGAGATATTTTTTCTGAAAGAATAGGAAAATGCTTGGCATCGCTGTTAATTAGGTTGTGTTCCCAAAACTCCAGCTTTTTGATAAATGCTTTTATATCAGAAATCATTTCCGCTAGTTCTTTGTCTCTCCCCTGAAGCTGCAAATTAAGTTCGTTTAATTTCTTTGTAATGTCCACGAGAAAACCAAAATCTCTAAGCCAGATTGAATTTTCTAGTTCCGGAGTCGGTTCATCGTGTTGTTTGAAAAATTGAACTATGCCAGATAGGACATCATTAAAACGTTTCAGCACCCGTCCTCTACTTAACCATCGGACTTCAGAGTGAAGGAGTAGGTCCCCGTATTGACAGTCAACTTCATCAGCCAAGGTTTTGAATTATCTTGTTTGTAACGCTTGAGCACTAATCTTGTTCACAATTTTTACCATCAGTTTCATAATGTTGTTTAGTTTCAGGAAATTTCCACATAATGCTTGCTGATGGATAATGCAGTGGTAACAGAGAAATTGCGGAAAAGTTTCATCTTTACGACATAACGCCACCAGACCAACCCACCATAGCTGGAGCGCCATCGGTTGTCAAGCCTACCATTTTCGATATTGGAATTTTCTTGGAAGAAATAATATTTTTTAAATGAGAAAACAACTCCTGTCCAGTAGTGTGTCCTTTCAGTGGAATAAACTTCAAAAGATCTTCTTTAATCGTAAAATTACTAAAAACCATCCTGACGAACACGGCCATCTGGGCAGTGTCAACGACATCTGTTGATTCATCCAGTTGAAGTGAAAAATAAACACAGTTATCTAAGTCAGTTCTTAACTGTAAAAAAATATCATTGCTCATTACTTCTACACGTCTCATCACTGTATTAGCAGAAAGTTGCATAGATTTTATAGCTGAAACTATCTCGTCTTTATTTCTAAAGTTGGCAAATAACGAATCAGCAGCTTCTAAAAACGCCTGTTTTATCATTTCCCCGTCTTCATAAGGTTTCTTTTTTGTGCAATTATCTGGGACACACGGTACGATGCTTCAGTTGCAGCCTTATTTTTGTCGACTGTTCTTAAAAATATTGATTGTTGTCCAATTAACTGCTTTTTTAACTGTTTCAGTATCTCCTTTATGGCGGCAGAATGTAGTGGGAATGATTTTTCAAAATTAGAATGTACAGTTTTATGATGTCTCTCAATATTTCCTTTTTTAGCAACGGAGACCGTTGTATTACATAACAAACACACATTTTTATCTTTAACTTCTGTAAAAAAGTATTGTTCTTCCCATTCCGAATGAAAGTGGTATGTCTTTACCTTCTTACAACTGCTTGCCATAATATTATTTTTTGTTGTTCTCTACTAACCCAACCGCTGGACGTTGGTTACGCGTTCAGTTTTAAACTAAGCGCAGTGTCGCCGCGCCGTGCGTATTTATCCCGTTCAAAGCAATCCTGATCGTTCTCGAACACTAACGCGCTGGTCCGGCTGGTCGGTTCTAGCCGATTCTAGCTTGATGGCGTCAGCGGCAGATCGCTCACCGCAACGTTGCTGCTGTTTATGTTTAATATTATGACAATTAGACTTTTTTGTGGAATTTTCGGAAGCTTCTCTGATTTTTGCCGTTTGTATTTTTTAAATTAAAATCGTTGTGAGAGCTACCAGAATTGTCTCCGCGAGCTACCGGTAGCTCGCGATCGACAGGTTGGTGACCACTGGTTTAAGGAATCCATTGGTGTCACTTCTTAATTAATGAATAAATTAATTAATCCGAAATTGTTTGTTTTATTAACCTCACTAAGTAGGATGTCAACTACCGGAGCAAATCATGTCAACTACTAGAACTAGCTAATCTGCACCTGTCAACCTTTGGAGCAAATGCATGAAGTAAAAAAAAAATTACCAAAAAGAAAATAAAAACAATCTGTCATTTTAAGATGAATGTTTACCTAGATCACATTTAAGGTGTTCTATCTGAAGTTGATAACAAAATATAGATGCAAATTTATAAAATTAATTGTAAATTTACAATTATATTTTTCTTAAGGTGTCAACTACTGGTATCTTTACCTTACTAAAATCTACTTACTTTTATTAAATCGGATTATTTTGAGGCAAAATCAAACTCATGTAGTTATTATATATCCATTGGCATCAATATTTGTACAGAATATACTACAAACATGTTACAGGTTATGGCATAGTTGAATTTAAAAATTAATTAAGAACATTTAAATTAGACTGCAATAATCAGTGCGATAAATTTATTGTATTTTCAATAATTAATTTGAATACTTTTTCAGTTGATTTTCGGAATATAAATTGTATCACAACTTAGATTATACTTTCAACTATTCTCAACTAATTTCAGAATCCACAAAATCATTTACTTTTTAAACGAATTGGAATCGCCAGGGTTGATGTTTTTACATGCATTTTGTTACCGTAAACCCAGCCTTAAGTAACCCCAGTCAGTTAAATGTTAACTTTCAATATACACATTTTTGTTTCATAATATCAATTAATTTGTCATTGTCTAAATTAAATAGGAATAAATAAAATTCTCACCTGGTGATCTATCCAAATTTTCTCCCACAGTACGTGCGTACGCTAAGTCAGCAACATTAGGTGTTGAATCTAAGAACTTAGTATACTCGGGATGATAATGTTTGACATGCATCTGAGCTAGATTCTCTCTTCTGAAAATTTTTCCGCATCCCTCTATTGGGCATTTAAAAGCATCATCTTCATATAGAATTTTAAGACTATTCGAGTTATCTAAAAATAAAATATAAGAACAACAAAAATTAAAACCTAAAAATAAAAATACCTTCTTCTTTGATTTCTACTTTTTCAGGTTCGATGTGTTCTTCAGGTAGAATCAATGGCGGAGGTTGTTCCTTTTCAGGTGATTTCGCTTTGGTGACAATTGCAGCGTTTTTACGTTTTCTCTTCGAGACAAGAGAAAAGTCGAACATTTTTTCGTTGATGCCTTCGTTGGCATGTTCTTCGAGATATTTTAGTACATCAGTTTTTGACCTGAATCTCTTATTTTCCGGACTACAAATAAATTATAAAAAAAATTAGTTACTATTTGTACTATTTTTTTACCGATTTTGATTAAATACTAAAATATCAGGTATATATAGACCAAAAATTTCAAATAAAAAGTGATCAGAAAATACCTGACAATGATTGTATCCCATTTCCCAGCATCGCAACCTTTTGTGCGACGTACGAGGTGTTTATTCCAGCCAAACGGAAGACGTGGATCTGGTACAATGTAGGAAACCTTGGGACCATCTTGAGTTTGGAGTGTAGATTCTATTCCAATAGGTTTTCCTTTGTACCAACTAGAATAAAATGTATCATAACATTATTTATGGCCATTTAGCTGGAAAGTTAATTGTTTCCCATTTACATTTTATTTGTATTAAATTTTAATGAATTTTACATTTTATTTAACAATTTTGAGACAATTTTTTAATATTTCACCCATCTATGGCTAGTGGAGGAAAAACAACATTATTCGAAATAACAGAAACTTCTATTACCTTATATAGAAAACTATAGCAACCCTGAAATAACTTTCAGACAAAAATAATTCATATTAAAACATCCTTTTATAAAATAAATACCCTGACTATTACATACAGTACAAGGTTCATTTGCACCGCTGGTCGTTAAGAAATAAGCCAAGCTTAAACTGACATATTTCCATTAACAATGTCACTTTAAACTTCGCTTAGTTCTTAATGACTAACGGTGCAAATGGCCCTTAGATAGGTAAACAATACTACAAATCTAAAATCAAATATTTTGAACTTATAAAATGATTTCTTTTGGTTTTACAACCTTCTATACTCTAGACCAGTGGTCGCCAACCTCTCAATGTGTTGAGCTACTTTGTTAATTTTGGAATAAACAGCGAGCTACCCACACGGAAGCCACGTAACGCAACGTAAATGAAATAATCCACAGTTAATTTATCATTATATGTATTTATTTTACTATTTAACTGGTAATACATAATACATAGGTACTTATAATAAACTAATATTACTAGTACGTACTTGTTCATAGCTACATTCCTACCTACCAAACGAAGGTGTTTGAAAAATAAACACAAACTTTTATCCAGCCACAACGGCATGTCACGTAAGATTTAAAAATAGTTAATAATAACAACAAAAAAGTAACGCACTATCATGAACATAAACATTGAAAAATAAAAAAAGCACGTTCAATGAGAAGGCTGATACTCAGACTCATCGATAATTTTTTTAATGTTTGCAGTATAATTTGATACAGCCATTCGAATACAATTATCCAAATGTTCATCTGTAAGTCGATTGCGATATTTGTTTTTAATAAACTTCATATTGGAAAAAGAAGATTCACACAAATAGGTTGAACTGAATAATGCTTTCACTTTCAAGGCAACACGGCATAGAACTGAATATTTGTCTTTACTTACAATAGGCCAGATACATTTGGTACTTGAGACTAACGATTTTAAGGCTAAATCATTTTGAAACTCAATTACTTCCATTTCTGTTGCAGCGATGTCTTCGCCAAAGTTCTGCATAACACAAGTTGCAAACTGTTGGAAATCAATTTCCATAAAGGGTGAAACAACAAACTGCGCTACTAAAGCCATTTCGTTGAAATCCTTAAAACGATTTTTGAAGTTATTCTTCAAGGTAGAAACTACTTCTACATGATATATGCTATCATAGGGTTCTAATGGATTTTGAGATATTTTTTCTGAAAGAATAGGAAAATGCTGTTAATTAGGTTTTGTTCCCAAAACTCCAGCTTTTTGATAAATGCTTTTATATCAGAAATCATTTTCGCTAGTTCTTTGTCTCTCCCCTGAAGCTGCAAATTAAGTTCGTTTAATTTCTCTGTAATGTCCACGAGAAAACCAAAATCTCTAAGCCAGATTGAATTTTCTAGTTCCGGAGTCGGTTTATCGCGTTGTTTGAAAAATTGAACTATGCCAGATAGGACATCATCAAAACGTTTCAGCACCCGTCCTCTACTTAACCATCGGATTTCAGAGTGAAGGAGTAGGTCCCCGTATTGACAGTCAACTTCATCGGCCAAGGTTTTGAATAATCTTCTTTGTAACGCTTGAGCTCTAATCTTGTTACCACCAGTTTCATAACGTTGTTTAGTTTCAGGAAATTTCCACATAATGCTTGCTGATGGATAATGCAGTGGTAACAGAGAAATTGCGGAAAAGTTTAATCTTTACGACATAACGCCACCAGACCCTTATCACAACCCACCATAGCTGGAGCGCCATCGATTGTCAAGCCTACCATTTTCGACATTGGAATTTTCTCGGAAGAAATAATATTTTTTAAATGAGAAAACAACTCCTGTCCAATAGTGTGTCCTTTCGGTAGAATAAACTTCAAAAGATCTTCTTTAATTGTAAAATTACTAAAAACCATCCTGACGAACACGGCCATCTGGGCAGTGTCAACGACATTTGTTGATTCATCCAGTTGAAGTGAAAAATAAACACAGTTATCTAAGTCAGTTCTTAACTGTAAAAAAATATCATTGCTCATTACTTCTACACGTCTCATCACTGTATTAGCAGAAAGTTGCATAGATTTTATAGCTGAAACTATCTCGTCTTTATTTCTAAAGTTGGCAAATAACGAATCAGCAGCTTCTAAAAACGCCTGTTTTATCAACGCCTGTTTTATCATTTCCCCGTCTTCATAAGGTTTCTTTTTTGTGCAATTATCTGGGACACACGGTACGATGGTTCAGTTGCAGCCTTATTTTTGTCGACTGTTCTTAAAAATATTGATTGTTGTCCCATTAACTGCTTTTTTAACTGTTTCAGTTTCTCCTTTCTGGCGGCAGAATGTAGTGGGAATGATTTTTCAAAATTAGAATGTACAGTTTTATGTCTCTCAATATTTCCTTTTTTAGCAACGGAGACCGAAGTATTACATAACAAACAGACATTTTTATCTTTAACCTCTGTAAAAAAGTATTGTTCTTCCAATTTCGAATGAAAGTGGTATGTCTTTACCTTCTTACAACTGCTTGCCGTAATATTATTTTTTTGTTGTTCTCTACTAACCCAACCGCTGGATGTTGGTCACGCGTTCAGTTTTAAACTAAGCGCAATGTCGCCGCGCCGTGCGTATTTATCCCGTTCAAAGCAATCCTGATCGTTCTCGAACACTAACGCGCTGGTCCGGCTGGTCGGTTCTAGCCGATTCTAGCTTGATGGCGTCAGCGGCAGATCGCTCATCGCAACGTTGCCGCTGTTTATGTTTAATATTATGACAATTAGATTTTTTTGCGAAATTTTCAGAAGCTTCTCTGATTTTTGCAATTTGTATTTTTTAAATTAAAATCGTTGTGAGAGCTACCAAAATTGCCTCCGCGAGCTACCGGTAGCTCGCGATCGACAGGTTGGCGACCACTGCTCTAGACAGCATACAATTTTTATATTTACTTTTTTCTTCACTTAACGATGTCATATTTGAAAATATTTCTAATTTGAAGCAGTTATCAAGCTCAGCTAATGTCGTATCATCTGAAAATAGACTTAAGGTACAAAGAATTGTATTCAAATACTTTGACAAATCAAAGACAAACTGCAGAAATACTAATGGTCCTAGAATAGACCCCAGGAGGACTTCTAGGTTCATTTCAGACATTCAATCTTGAATTCTAACATACATACTGCTATTAGGAACATTACCCACTACCTGTATATAGAATTAGAAAGGTAGGACTTTAAATCATAATTTAATTTATATTAATGACATTGCTGGTGTAGTCGAAAGATGCTCAAGACACTTATTTGCAGATGATACACTGATATATTTTACCCATCAAAACACTGAAACGTGTTTTAAAGAAATTAATAGTTCCATAAGTAAAATTATTGTAACGGAAATTCGTTGAAAATAAATTGCGAAAAGACAAAGTGGATATTAATTTGGGGTACTGGAAATTTAAAAAAATGTAGCAACGCAGTGTGTTTCTTTTGATGGAATAAAGTTTTAGAGAGTTGAAAAATTTAAATATCTAGGGGTTATGGTTGATACAAATTTACAATTTAAGGAACATGCTAATAACGTCATCAAAAGAATATCATTTAAAATAAACTATTTGAGGCGCTGTTCTCCACATCTCAGCAAATGGGCTAAAATAATAATTTATAATACTCTAGTATTACCTCATTTTAATTATTGTGCCACTATATTGTATTTGCTCATCCAGAATGAGTTGCAACGATTGCAAAAGTTGCAAAATAGAGGTATGAGGATAATACTGAGCTGTTCGAGATTGGAACCAATCAATTCCATGTTGAATGTGCTTCAGTGGTTGCCTGTTAAAAAATATTTGCTATTCTATTCCCTGCTATTTATATTTAAGATTAAAACAGGAATCTCCCCAGTATATTTACAAAATATTTTAAGTTATAATCAGGATGTTCATGAACACAATATACAAAATAAGAAAAATTTTAGAGTTTATAAGGCCATGAAGAAATGTACACAAAATTCAGTGTTTTTTAAAGGTGTACACGCTTTTAATAATTTGCCTGAAGATATTAAATGTTCTTCAAACGCATCAATATTTAAAAGAAAACTGCGTGAGTACTTGCTGACCAATTGACGTTTTTTTTTCTTCTTTCTTGTTCTTTTATTATGTTTTGTATAGTTGACATGTAAGTGTACTGTATCTTATGTATTTTTTATTGTATTTTAAATGTATGTTGATTATATACTTATGTATTTTTTATATTTTAAATGTGAAGATGTATTGACATGTAAAAGTTTTTTTTTTTTTTGACTAAACTAACGATTTATATAATATTCAAAAAGTTCTCCAAATCGGACCACTTCAAAAAACTGGTGATAATTTTTTTATTGAAATTTGTTTTGGTTGCGTTTACATACAGCAGTTGCATTTTTAGTACTCTGTTCGTACAGTGTGTCCCAAAAAGTTTTATACATTGGTTTTGGATTATTTATTGAATAAAGTAAATCAAAATCACTTAAAAACAAATGCAATGATTTAAATATATTTTTTAATTCCTATCAACATTTTTAACTAATATTTTGTTCTATATTGAAACTTATTTCTCCATTATAAATCATTATTTTTATTTTCCCTGTACTTATACGACCTACATTTTACAAAATTGAAAGCTTGATTATGGGTTCTTAAATGTTGCAGAATCTTTTTACGAATAAAAATTTTTTGTGTAATAATTTTTTTCCCCATTTATATAAAAAAATTTGTATAAAAAAAATAAATAAAACATTTACATTACCTCGGTTTCCAATTTTCAATATCAATAACAGAAGGTGTCAATCCTGGAGCTATCGTATCAATCTGAGGACTACCAACTGCCTGTTCTGATTTACTAGTATTTGCACTTGCACTAGCTCTCTTAGGTTTGTCTTCAGTTTGTTCTAGTTTTGGTCTTTTCCTGAATAAAGCAGCTACATTTATTTTCCTTTTCTTGTCCCTTCTATCTTGTTTGCTGCTCTTTATGGGGTCAAAAAGAGGACTAGATTGAAGAGGTTTACAAAGAGGTTCACCAAGCGATTTGGTGAGTCTACTAGATTTTAATGTTTTAACAAATCCATCGTCAAATAATACTTCATAAGTGTCTAAAAATAATAATTAAATTCTTTTTAAAATTTTATTGCATAAAATAGAACGGTTTTATTTAAAAGAGGAAATTCATATTCTTAAGAGCAAACATGACGGGCGCTCCTCCACCAAAAATTAATTTTACATTTGAGGCAGTTAAAAAAAATTGTAAAAAAAAATGGTTCAGGCCAATCGTTGTAAAAATGAACCAAGAATTTCGCTAAACCGCGAAAAAGAAAAACAACAAAAATTTCAACTTTTTAATAAATTTAATTTTTTGGCTCTTTACCGGCATTCTATAACAAATATCTTAACTATTTTCTAAATAACTTTTTTTCAAAAAGATTACCAATTTTAAACAGGACCGAAGATCAACATAGTTTTCATTCCGATACTAATTCTATTAAAAGAATGATACCAGTGAATATGGCAACGCTGCTAGTCTTTGAAGCCCGTGGTTAAAAGGGTAGCTGCCCTTTAGTTAAATTTGTTAATTCCTGTGTCGAAAAATAGGTAGTTGTTTTTGAAGAGGTGCGAAATTATTGTGATCGTCTTAGTTTGTTGTTGAGGCGTTGTTAGGTTTTTGTTTAATTTAGTTTTTAGTTAATTTATGAAATGAAAAATTCTGGAAGGCAAAAATGCACAGCTGACAAATTTCTATTTTATTTGTTTGCTGCCAGAGTTAGTAAATCCTAGAAAAATACGACAATTAAGGAAAAGAGATTGTCAAGAATTTTGCACGCTTAAAAAAATGTGTAATATACATGGTGTTTCTAAATACATGCGACAAAATTCAGGAACTGATTGCTCGTATGAAATTAAGATGGGTCTTTCCTATAACAAAATTTCCTCAGCCCACCCCTTTTCGAGATATCACCCTTAAAAAGTGGTGACTAAAATTGAGTTTTTATTTTTTTTCTAAAATTTCAGTAAAGCTAGAAACTTGAAATTCTGTAATCGCAAAGGACTAACCACGGGTATTTTTTCAATATTTCTGTTACATTATAGGGGGATGAAATTAGCAACACTTACTTTATTTCATATCAAAACTTTTTTTCGAGATGAACTTTTATGAAATCCTTGATTTATTTAATTTTTTTTATTCTTGAATTTCTTTCCCAAAACCAATAGCTTCAGAGAAAAAAAATTAACACCCTAATTTATTATTTTGTTTTAATAAATTGAGTGGAAAACAGTGTAACGGGCTTGTAACTATCGTATCGTAAACTCTGTCATTATTCGTTTCTTGCATTAATTTACACCAGTTTACACCAGAAGATAGCACTTAACGAAGCGTTTTAGCCACTAATTTTGGCGAATTTTAAGAAATCATTAACAAGACATTAGGGGCTTAAATTTGGGGATTATATTAAGAATAGTGCTGTCGAGGAATGCATTTATTTTCATTATGATATTTCAAAATTAAAGCCCTTTTAGTTTTTTTGGGAAACTGGAAGGAATTAAAACATTAAAATATATGCATATTATAGATATTATTGCCTAATTTATTTTGCCAAAATTTAAATATTTTGAGATATTCTTGTCCGATAATTATAAGGGGTATGAACAACTTAAGATTGAAAGAGAATTAACTTTAATTCATGAGATGCAAAGCATCATAATTGTCGCGTCACAAAAACCACCTGCTGCCAAGAGAAAATTTTGATTCAACAGTATTGTATATTTTGTGTGGTAAAAGAGAAAAAATTAACATTTCGTGTTTTAATAGTTATTTTTTTAATTTAATAATCTATGTGAAAAAAAATTTTTTTAATAGACTTTAAAAAATTGTTATATTAATATACTTATTTAATTGTACTTATATTTGTTGTTCCTTTAATACAATAAATACAATTTACCTATCTCCAATTCATCACTTTCCGTATCCATATACCTAGGGTCCGATTACAATTAGAAAAACACCCCTACGTCATAACTATTATTTCGAATTTCCAATATACCCCCCGAAATTAGACGGTCATATTTTAACAGCGTAATCTACATCCTACAAGTAATAGAAATTAAAAATTAAAAAAAACCGAATTCAAAAACGTGCAAATGCCGTCACCCAGAGCTGGGACGAATCATCGAAAAATGGATTCGAATCACGAATCCGAATCACGAGATGTGATTCGAATCACGGATCCAATGTTCGAATCCTTTTTCAAAAAAAAAAGGATTCGAATCCTTTTTTTCGGATCACGGATACGAATCACGAATCAGTGTTATACTGTGATAATAATTATATTTGCTTTCGAAACTAATACTGTTTTATACCTCGGTCCTAAAATATTTAACGCACTTCCGGTGGAATTTAAAAACCTAAATTCGATAGGTCTTTATAGATCTAAATTGCAATAATGGATATTAACTAAACAAGGATAAATATTTTAAGATTTTATTAATTTAAATATAACTAAAATCTAAAATCATTTAGCTAAAAAGAACTTTACTTATTTGCAATTATCCAATTATTTATGTATATGATAATTATTTATAAAATATTCAATGCTGTAGCTAGTTTGTATCTATAATAATAATGTAATAATAATAATAATATATAAATGGGAGTAAAAGTTTATATAAACGTTTCGTTTTCGAGATACAGGGTGTTACAAGTGAAGTCCAGATGAAATATTTTCTAAAATTTCTTTAGTTACCGGTTTTTCAAAGTTAAAAAAAATAAAATTTCTAATTCTACAGACCTACTAATTATTGTTTACACTTTCGAATAAGGTAACATGCTTTTCTCTTGAAAATGGCGCGTCCTAGCGAGATGCAACAAATGTAGCTTTATTATACAGAAAATATTGGTTTTCCAAATTTTATAGTCAAAAAATCTGATGTGTCCAACACATGACTTTCCTATCTAGTTATTATAGGCTTTTTCTGGTTATTTTGTACAACTTATTGCAGTACCTCTATAAATGTTTAGAGGATAAACTAAATATATACATTTTCCACATACATTTATCTACCTCGAAACATTTTTCTATAGTTATTCATTGAAAACGAAAATACTGAAAAATTTAAATTTAGCAATTTTTCCATTACGGTCCATTTTAGAAAAATCATGTATAAACAAAAATTATAGAGATCGATACCGCAAACAACTTTTAGTTTAGTTTAGAATTTTGCACATTTTGTCAAATTTCTCGAATACGGACCATTTCAGGAAATTTTGACATAAAGCAAAAATTATAGATAATAATATTAGAAGTAACTTTTATTTGAATAATCTTCTTCTCCAAACATAAATAACAGATATATTCAATAAAATATAAAAACGGCCTCCCATAAAGTACCCCCCCAGATGTTCCGACTTTGTCCAAAATCTAACTATTTCACGTCAGGCCGAAATAAAACTTAAGTTTAAAATTTAGTGTTTTTCTGTGTATCGGTGCATGAGTTATGGTGGATATAGACACACAGACACACACGGCAATTTTACCCTAAGCTCCCCCTAATTTACCCATCTAAGAAGATGATCAATAACTGGGGTTTAGTCCAATAAATGAAGCGTAAAAAGGTAAGTATTTGTAACAAATTTTACCTAATTATCTTTAAACGTTTAGAAAATATTTACAAAAGTGTGGTATCAGGACTTCACCTTTAACACCCTGTATCTCGGAAAAGAAAAGTTTTCGGACCTGTTTATATGAACTTTTACTACTATTTTAGGATGTAGATTACGCTGTTAAAATATTACCGTCTAATTTCGCAACACCCTGTATATCATCTATAACTATCAATAAATAAAAAATATTTGAGTTGTTTGGTTTAAAAATAGTATTCCTATATTCGTATATTAACAAGCCACTAACCCCCAGTAGGCGGCGATAGCCAACGAATTATACCTGAATTGTAATCGGACCTTTCAGGGTACGACACACAACATTGCCAAATTAATGTAGCGAACAAGGTTCCAAATACTTTAAGGGGTGGTCGTGAGATTCGTGCGGTGTGACGTCAGAAGGGACTGGATTGCTCTTAACAGTAAAAGAGATGTTTAACATAAACTATAAAACATTGTCTATTTCAAAACTAGTCTACCCTTAAATAATAATAATAATAAATGCTTTACTTAGATTACACTAAATTACAATGTATATAACTTATAACGAAAATATAAATAAAGCTGGTAACTGATAAGGGCATACACACTTGTTTCGGTAACGATAGTAATTCCTATTAAGGAAAACGGGATGAAAAAATTAAAATATGTGTATATAATAAAATATTAAAAATAAATAGTATTTAAAAATATTAATAAAAGAAAATATTATGAATTAAAAACAACAATAATAATAATAATAATCTTACAACAACCAATAGGAACTTGTTTAACATGGCATACAAATTAAAAAGAATAATGGTTATAAATTCTTGTGGTCAAAAAATGGAAAAGTGTATATAAGAAAACATGATGTTGAACCTTCAGTTCGAATAAACAAGAAAGAAGACTTAGATCTTCTAAGTAGGAATTAATAACTAATGTAAACAAAAAACTAACTACAGACTGTTGAATAAAACTTTATTAAAATGGCCAATACAAGTCCCAAATTTTATAACAATCTTGATGAGTTTAAAAATGAAACAAATCAATGTTTGTTCTATATTATACTTAAACGCTCGCTCAGTACGTAATAAGTTAGATGAAATTGAAGCACTTAGTAAACTTGTCAATCTACCTGATGTAATTGTTATTACAGAGTCGTGGCTTTCTCCTGGTAAGGAAAACTATTTTAATTTGCCAGATTATAATGCAATTTATGAATCAAGAAATAAAACGGGAGGTGGAGTTGGCATTCTAGTAAAAGAAGGCTACAATTTCACAGAAATTGACAGGTTAAGTGAAAAATGTTCTTTGCTATTTATAAGATTGGAACAAAGGTACTTTGTTATAGGTGCTACATATATACTCGCGTATCGGGGACAACACTAATCATTTGTAATTGCTATGGTGGGAGATGTTTGTGTGAATACGTCTTGTTTGTTTTTAATTTACGCCATGACTAGCAGTAGTATTTTATAAATCTTAGAAGCAAATTTCACATACATGAACAAATAATAATAATGCCGTGACAACAGGAGGACGAAGTAACGACTTCTGGTAGGGTGGCGGCTTCGCCGCCACCATAAAATTTCAATCCACGCCTGGCTACGCCGACCGGCATAAACACCAACGGCTTGGACACAGCTCATCTACTCTGTTAAAAGGAGACCGATGTACAAATAAAACGCGTACGACATGCGCACTACAAATGATTAGTGTTGTTCCCGATACGCGAGTATATATAGACCTCAAGATTTTGATAAAAACACTTTTATAAACGTTTTAGAAGAGAAGTTAGAAAATATCAATAACCATAAAAAGAAAACGTTTATTTTGGGAGACCTTGATTACCTAATTGATTCACTAAATTTTATTAATTTAAATGATAGCATTCCAACTAGAGTGCAGAATAATTCAAGAACTTTAATTGATTATGTTTTGTTAAATGATGAATACTCCAGTAATTTGGCTGTTATTGATTACTGTTTAAGCGATCATAGAATAAAGATATTGCAAGAAAAACAATGCAATTCAATTAGCAATGAAAAATATTATAAATGTTTTAAGTTAAATAGGTTAGCATGTAGAAGAGATCTTCAAGGTATAATTAACACTGTGTGGCAGGATCCAAATGTCTTGTGTGATCAAATAGTGAGAACAGTCCAAAGCAATATTATATATTATAAAGACCGTTTTAGAACTAAAAGTTGTTCATGGTTTAACATTCATTTGCATAACCTAATCAAGCACAGATATGTGTTATAAAAGGCATAAGTTTTTTCCCAATAGTGCTCTGCTTCACAGTGAATACAAGAACAGTCGAACTATCTTGAAAGCAGCTATATCTAATGCAAAAAAAAACAATATTATCCCAATCAGCTAATAAGTGCCCTAGGTAATCCAAGAAAAATATGGTCAGTGTTAAACTTGTTAATTGATAATAAAATATCAAAGCAACAAAACACAGTGAATAAACTGCAAGTAGAAGATGACTCTATAGAAGTTCCTAAGAAAATTGCAGATATTCTTAACACCCATTTTACAGAAATAGGTAAAGCCTTAGCAGAAAATATACCAGAGTCTACTTACATGAAACCTACAGTTATAAACCGTCAACAACTATATCAATGGGAGTTAACTACCCCCCAAGAAATCAACAAAGTAATTTCAGAGTTAAAATCGAGAAAAGCCTGTGGTGCTGATGGTATCTCTGGGGACTTGATCAAACATTTCAAAAACGAGAAGTCAGTTATCTTAAGTAACCTAATAAACTTAACTTTCACTCATGTTTCAATTTCCAATGAACTAAAAGTAGCTAAAGTTTTACCATTATTTAAAGGAGGGCTAAGAACTTCCACTAATAACTACCGACTGACATCTCTATTAAGTTCTATCTCCAAAGTCCTGGAAAAATGTATTAATCAAAGGCTTGTTTCCTTTCTTGAAAAAAAGAATGTTTCTACGACCATGTATTTTTACCCACTTTCCCGCACGCATTTTAGTTTTGAAAGTGTCACTTTCCCGCACTAGTGCGGGAAAAAATCACTTTCCCGCACTAGTGCGGGAAAGTAAAATTATGAATATTTGGCCTTACCTATTGTATAGTTTCTTTACCTCGGATGTTATAACTATTGTTACAATAGGTAATTTAGTATTTTCCAACTATTCCATTTAATAAAATTTACTTTTTTTCTTGCTTTTTGTTATAATTTTAATTTTTTGGAAACCTTGAATAATAGAGATATTTTTATATACCTTCTTTATATTTTTAAAAGTCAGACTAGGCTGTGACATGTATGGCTTGATATGGTTGCTATATGGTAACCAAGGCGTGTTATTGTTACAAAAACGTCAAAGTTGTTTGTTGAAGCGTCAACTGAATTAAAATAAATTAAAGAAATAATGGATTCATCGGATGAAGAGCTGCCCGAAGCCATTTTAAAAGCTGCAAATGAAGCACAATTGGAGGTGTTACCTGCCAAATCACGAGGAAGATATGAAAAACAATACGACCATTTTGTCACATGGTGTAAACAGGAAGGGGTAAAAACCTACAAAGAAGAGGTGTTTCTGGCGTATTTTTCGCACCTAAGTAAGTTTTTGAAATCTAATACTTTATGGTCTCGCTATTCGATGGTGAAAAGTTTAGTAAAAATAAAACAAAATTTGGATATAAGCCAGTTCCATAAGTTAACGTCATTTCTAAAACAAAAAAATGTTGGATTTCGAGCACAGAAGGCGCAGGTTTTTACCAAAGAAGATATATCCTGGTTTATGTTAGCCCCTGATGAGGTATACCTTATGATTAAAGTGAGTACCATTTTTGCTTTAGCTGGTGCTCTCCGCAGAGCGGAGCTTGTAAATATCACTCTCGATGATATACAAGATAAAGGCAATCTGATAGTTGTGAAAATTTCCGATTCCAAAAATCATTCTTCAAGATCATTTGTTTTATGTGAAGAAATAAATAATTGAAACTTTCTGAAGCTGTACAGAAAGTACGCAGGTTTACGACCACCTACCACTCCGCATCGCCGCTTTTTTATTAATTATAAGAAGGAAAAATGCTCAATTCAGTGCGTTGGCGTAAACACCTTTGGTAAGATGCCAACAGAGATTGCTGGAGTGCGTTTAGAAACCACGCACGGCGCGTCTGGACCCTATTCTAATGTATGTGGTGAGACGCGCCGTGCGGGGTTTCTAAACGCACTACTGCATATTTGCGTCTACCTAATCCTGAACGATATACAGGACACAGTTTTAGACGTTCTTCAGCAACATTCCTAGCAGACTCAGGTGAAGCGATAACCAATATAAAACGTCTCGGTGGCTGGAAGTCCACTACTATCGCTGAAGGCTATTTGGAGGACTCCGAAACACAGAAGAAAAACATTTCGAATAAAATTCTTTCAAATAGAAATGACTTGCAACCTTTGCTGCCACCGTCATTTTCACCTTCATGCGACCTGCAACCGATGTCACTCCCGTCCACGTCATCTTTTCAATCTACGAGCGTTACGACTATTAACAGCCAATTAACACCAACTAATTCCTCTGTACCGGCAATTTTACATAATTTACAAAATGCTACAAATTGTGTATTTAACATTAATATCCATAATAATTAGTTGTTTTTATTTAAAGATTTGTATATGTTGAAATAAAATAATTTTCCAAAAATAATTTTTCCTACTTTTTTGTATATACGGTCGTAGAAAAAATAATGTTCCTAACTCATGCGTAAAGTGTCTTTCCCGCACTTGACCGCTTGCCCGAACTCCGCTTCGCGTCGTTCGGGCCAACTGCAGTCGCGTGCGGGAAAGTAACACTTTCCGCACTTGTTAGGAAAATAACTATTTTGGTACAAGGGACAGTATGGTTTTCGTAGTGGAAGTAGCACAACGTCGGCCGTCACAGATATGATTACCAAAATCAGACATCATGTGGATGAAGGCAATGCATGTATCATTGTTTCACTTGATTTAAAGAAGGCGTTCGATACTGTTATCTATTTTGGAAGACTATGGAATAACAGGAAATGCATTGTCTTTCTTCAGAGATTATTTCCATGGCCGTACACAGTTTGTAAGTAATGGAAATACCTCAAGTAAAATGGCTGATCTACAATGTGGTGTACTTCAGGGGTCAATTCTTGGACCAAAGTTATTCTTGATCTATATAAACTCCATAGCTCAGCTACCATTAGCTGGTTATTTTCAACTTTATGCTGATGACGCTTGTCTCATCTATTTTGGAAAAGATACAGACGAAATAAAGTATATTACAGAGCAAGATCTAATTCAAATTCTTGAGTGGTTAAAGTTTTATAAATTAACTCTGAATACTAAAAAGTCAAGTTTTTTAGTGATATCAAAAAGACTGAATGGAACCAATTTCAAATAAATATAGACAATGAACAGTTGACTAGGACAGAATGCATTAAATATCTTGGCTTATACATAGATTCCAAGCTCAATTGGGAACATCATATTGCTCAACTGTGTAAAAAATTAGTCCTGCCATTGGAGTATGTGTTGCCTACTACCTTTCAGCTGACTTAAGGAAGACTGTATCATTCACTAATTCATTCACATCTATCATTTATTTAACTCTTATTTGGAGCAAAACTTTCCAAAATAGACTAAAACCCTTGCAAATTCTACAGAATAGAGCAATCAGAAAAGCTTTTCAACTTTCTTTTTGTCATCCTACTGATTTTTTGTATCGTCCAAATAATATTCTAGAAATTCAGTCCCTCTCTAAATATCAGATATGCATTTTTATTCATAACCTATCTCTGAATAATATCTCATCCGTACAACTGACTACTTCCTATGATATTTATAGATATAATACTCAGAATATTTGATGCTTCAGAACCACAGCCATAAGAACATGCTTTGGTGACCGAAGCATATTATCTGATGGTCTAAGATAATACAATGAGCTTCCTAGCAACATAAAGAACAAGGAGTGACCTCTTAAAAAAAAAACTAAAAGCTCACTTAATAGAATTTTCTTAGTTGATATCTTCATGTTTAAATAGGGTTTAAGTAATAGTGTGATATTAAATTACTGTATTTTTTTTAGTTATTTTGTAGTAGTATTGTTATTATTATAACTAAGCAGGTACATAATTCTTCTTCTGTGATATATTATAAAATTTGTACCTTGTAAGACCCACATAGTCTTAGGCTCTGTGTCTAAATATACCTAATTGTATTCTTTTTTATTAATAAACTTGATGGAATCTTAAGTCTAAGAGAATACAAAGAAATACTTTATTATTACTTATTATTAATTACAACTTTGCTCAAAAAATAGTCTGTTATTCAATCAGCAATATGTTTTTCCAAATTCTGACATACTTAAAGCATACTGCAGCCAAAATATTAAAAACAAATAGTGTTTTTTTTTAATGTTCTTACCATTATCCAAAATGTTTGTGATTGTTGCAGGATATTTTCTAGAAATACTCCATGCAGCTAGACATCTTTCGCCAACAGCAAAGGTTTCAACCAAATCAATATTCTTGTTTTCATTGGACTCCTCACTATTGGAAGTACATCCCAGCAAGGGTCTTAAACGCGAACTATTCATAGATATCCATTCATCATATTTTCTTGAAAAGTTTTCGAAGTGTATCAACACTTCATTTTCTTCGTAATCTATTTCCACTATTTTAGCAGGATACCATTCGTTTTTAAAATCTAGAGCTTCTAATTTTGAATTTATTGTAAAACTTAACGAACCACGATCTGATGAAGATAAATTAGACTGCTCTTCTTTATCTTTTTCTTCTTTTGGCTCAATTTTGATCTCACATTCTGTTTGGTGGTTTTCACTGTCTATTACTTCTTGCTTAATTTTTTCCGTTGGTTCTTCCTTCATCTCAATACTGGTATCCATCTGCGTATCATTTTGGAGAGATGTTGGTTCTTCTTTTATTTCTAACGGTTTTTCCTTCTTTGCTTCAGCCTTAATAGCTTCGAGTTTCGATTTATCCCAAGGAAATACACTTGGCAAAACTCCCTGTTTTAACATGTACTTTTTGCCTTTAAAATTGCAAAAGTCGGCACGAAGAAAGTGACGGGAGCAAACATATATAACTTTAACATATTTCTTGTCTTCTGGTATTCTACATAAAGATAACCATTTCGGTCTAATATCGCTGTGGGGTGGAACTTTGTGAAAAGTGACCCCAACATCTTTAGGCCTATTCGAATCAGATTGGCAACCTTCTACATTACATTTGCGTCCCATTATAATACAAAATCGAAGAATAGCAAGTCTAAAATATCTGAAAATATTTAATAAAATTCAAGTTTGTTATTAGTTTGGTGTAATAAAATAATAACACAAATACATTTCATTGCATGATTACGTTTTTGTAAACTTTACTACAACTAACGATAAACGTCAAATATGCGTCAACTGTCACTAGTCACATTTCTTATTAAACAGCCCATGGACGAGGCAATTTGTTGTACTACTAATAGTACAATAAATTGCATTGTAAATTGTAGATACAGATCGTAAAGTTTTTGTCCACAAACGTCTAGTATAGCAGGGACAAACGTTGGAAAAGCTGATTAAATAAGCAAATTACAAGAGAATTGGTCTGGAGATGCCTAGAACAATTGAATGAGCTAGGCGAGAAAAATAGAGTTACTCTCACCTGGGTCCCGGGACATAACACGAGGTACAGGGTAACGAGATTGCAGATAGTCTTGCAAGGAAAGGGGCTCAAACAACCTTTGTAGGACCTGAGCCGTTCTGCGGTATCAGCAGTAACATAATTTTAGGAGAGATTAAAAAAGAATTGGTCAGTAGAAGAACCGATAATTGGAACAATCTCTTGGGGCTGAGACAGGCCAAGATACTTCTGGGTGAATATAACCAGAAAAGATTGGAAGCCTGCATCTGCCTGAGTAAGAACAGGCTACGTATTGTAAAAGGGATCCTTACCAGGCATTGCCGACTAAAAGGACACCTAAGTAAACTGAGCGTAGTAGAGGATAGTGAGTGCAGATTCTGTGAGGAGAAGGACGAAACCTCCATTCACATCCTAACTGAATGTGTAGCACTCCAGAATTCAAGGGCACTATATCTAGGAGGATATCAAATAGAAGAGGGAGATTTACCTAACTTGAAGCCACTTCAAATCCTACACTTCCTTGAGAAAATAGGATTGGAAGGGTCGCTATAGGCATTGAGACATTTCCTTAGTGCAGTGGCGACAGAAGGGGACACAATAGATCTTTTAGGTCACAGTGTATTAACACCCCATTCTCAACGTAACATAACATAAGAGAGGGATTTCTTCCCTCGGGGGGAGTGGGAAGTGGGGAAGAGTGTCTCTACTGAGTCACACCAAGACAACGCTTTGGGTGAGATCTCCGATTCGATAAAAATACTATTTAACACAAACTGATTTATTCTCCGACAAGCTGAGACATAAGAAACAATACAATCCGTACAGCAACTTATTACGTACTAATTACAAGGATTCTTTTTGAGCAAAACTCCTGCTAACAACAAACTATTCGCATTGTTGCAAATAACCGGAGAATGACGGATGGGCCGATTGTCTGGAATATAGAGCGCCGTTGCTAGATCCGTCCAGATTCTTAATATCTAAGAAAAAACTGAAAAATTACATTTGTCTCATTGTCTCTAACACTCTCTATAATAGTAGTAATTGTCTGCAGGGTAGAGACCATGTAGAGACTGTAAAGAAGTTGTAAATGTTAAACCCGGTCGGACGTATTCGAGAATTTTGCGGTAATGTCCGTTCGCCATTATCGTCTCATGGAATAAAAATAATACCAAACATGTTAAATTATAACCTGCGGAATCGGGCAAACGTATCTATTTATGAGTTGCAAATAATTATTTTAATAAGTAATAACAGCCCATAATCATAATTCTACAAAATTTCAACAGCTATATTCACAATTTATTAAACTATTTACATGAAATTTTTATTCCCATCTATAAAATAATTTTCTATGTCAATGTTTTGCGTTCGCGTTCACTTCTTTTAGCTCCGCGTCAAAACTGTAAAATCCTGTATAAAGTGGGAGAACTGACAAAAGCCTTTCCAACTTCTGTCCCTGCTATATTCCAAGCAATCGGTAGTATAATTAATATTATTATTCTCCAATAGATCATCTTTATATTCATCAGTCATCCTGCCTTTTCTCCGCATTTCGATTTTGATGTAAACAGCAGCAAATCGTGGTTTTTAGAACGTCGGTTCATATACAGTGTGGAAACCACTTATGGAATAAAATTCTTTATGTCATTATTTTAGAAAATTATAAAAATGCCGAGACATGTCAACTTTTGAATTGAGTTGTGCGTTATGTAAACATAAATTTAAATGTACAGGGTGATTCACGCAAGTATGCCATAGTCGGTGTTGTTTTTTTTTAATGAAACACCCTGTATATTTGCATACATACATAATTCAGTTTGTTGGAATCGGTTCATTAAGAGGATTTCAAAAATATGCAAATATACAGGGTGTTTCATTAAAAAAAAACAACACCGACTATGGCATACTTGCGTGAATCACCCTGTACATTTAAATTTATGTTTACATAACGCACAACTCAATTCAAAAGTTGACGTGTCTCGGCATTTTTTACAATTTTCTAAAATAATGACATAAAGAATTTTATTCCATAAGTGGTTTCCACACTGTATAAATCATCTGTTACCGTGCCTGTTCCCATGGAATTTTTAAATCTTGTACATATAAAATATTTTGAAAATGCTATTTAAACAAATAGGGCTATGTGGTAGAGTCTCTGCCTGTAGATCCAAGGGTCCCATGTTCGAATCCCACCGTTGCGCGTTGGCCGGAATTTTTTCATTTAATTTAATTATTTAAAATTAATTCTGATGCCTTGGTAGGATTCCCCACTCGACCATTCACTGTTGGGTTCTAATTAACAGTGCTCTTCCTAAAGTGGCGCTGGGAAACAGTAACAAAGCCTACACAGAACACGAGGCTAATGACCTTAGCAGCCGATGTCGATGACACCAAATTAAACAAAAAAAAAAAAACAAAAAAAAAATAGCTCTTTTTGAAGGCCGCCTTATTTTATGAAACGAATGAATATTTGGGGGATGATGATATGACGAACAAAGTAAGGTCCCGCAACATGAACGAATTACATAAAACGGCAATTCATAACGTTACATACAATATTTTTTCTAACTTTGTTTTGCCAACTTCTATTTTTATGAGTTAACCTGTCCTTTGATATAAATATTCAATAAGTAAGTATATTATTGATTTTAAAACTAGAAAAAGTTTATTTTTATTTGTTTTCTTTCCGCAACTAGTGACATAATTAATTTTTTGAAATCAGTTTCCTAATGTTCAACATTGTGCAACTGGTTGCGTAATCATTTCGACACTTGCTGCGATTACAAAAAAAATTTTGTAATGGTCCACCTCCCGGGTACCCAATTTGTTCGTTGTTTTACTCTCCGAAATGTTATTATTTACCTCACAAGTTTATTTTATTTTATACTTACTGAATTTGGCCTTTTTCCTCTAGTAGTAGAAATGATCGCCTAGTTAATTAATTGATAATTTATATACCAGCACGTTGAGATAATGTTAATTAAAGTAAACCAGGATTCGATGCAAAGTTTGGTGCAAATCGATAAATAAAACCATACAAAATTATATTTAAACCCTTTTATTTTTTCATTCAATAATTTGAAAAGTATATTACAATTGCTACTATTTACTGAGATCTCACCTGAGTCCCATTCAAACGCAGGCCATGTTCCTTTGCTATTAATATATATTTTATTTAGGTTGATGACCAACGGAGTTAACAGACAGCTTCAATTCGCCAGTTGGTTATTAACTACTGTGTTGATGTTGATAATTTTATTTAGCCTGAATCTATTCTAGATATAAACAGGTTGCGCCCTCTTAGGTAAATATTTCGACGAGTATAGAGGTGATGACCAACGAAGGTAACGAACAGCGCCAATTTGCCAGTTGGTTACCTTACTATGTTGATTTCACATATACTTTGTTTCAAACCCGGTAGAATGAGTGGCTAAGCATATATAGGTGTCTCCCTTGAGCTAACGAACAGTGTATTCACCAATTGGTTAACTTACTGTTAAATTTTACCATCTCTGTTTGTACAATTTATCAAAGATAGCACATCCCTCTATATTTCTAAATTATTGATTTTTATAATTTCTATTGAAATTACTGAATAAAACCCTGTATATTTCTTTAATATCGATTTTTATAATTTCTATTGAAATGCTCAAAATTTCACCCTTAGAAAACAGATGTCTATCCTAACTGTCTTTCAGGGTGTATGACCTGAAGGCCATTTGGTTTATTGGTTACATTGATAATATTTTGCAGCAAATGTCAAGCCCTCGTTTAAACGAAACCCCGGTGGTATCTCAGAGAAAGTTACATAAATCTGTTGACTCACCATTGAAAATATAGACATTAGTATGTACTAATTTTATCTAACGTTGTGACGGCGTCGATTTAGGTACGTCGCAGCGTTAAGCGTTGCCTTGCGACGATGTGCCTAGCGTCGTGGTGGAGAGAAAGGTATTTAATACGGTTCTGCATACGGTAGAAATATTTAGGTAGTGCGGGACGTGACAGCGTTCGGGGGATATAGGAGATATTGTAGGATCGACGTTGTTTAGGAAGAGCGTTTTAGGAAAGGTGCCGACTACTGAACTTGAAATATAACTGGATACAAATAATAAATGAATGCCTGCCTATCAAATAATAAAAATGAATGCTTGCACATCAAATAATAGAAATGAATGCCTCCGAGTTCATTTGGGTTTGGGTTTTTATACCCGTTTTAATGGCTTTTTGTGACGTCAGCTCTTAGTTCCGTGTGAACGAGGTGAATAGAAAAGGGGTGAAAAGAGTGAAAAATTATTACTTGCCTTGAAAATTTGTATATCGAAACAACGTTACTATTCAAACGCACTTAAGATAAGTGCGTTAAGTGTTTCTTGGGCTGGGTTCCCAGACACGTGCACGAAAATTGGATCTCTTACGGACATGGTTATAGATAATGTTTATTAGGTGTCGTAAATAAGATTTTTTAATTATCTGGGAGATTCGTTAAATGAAGGATTTTGAATTTAATAAGAATGCAATATTATATTTAATAAATGGAATTAATAAATTATTAAGGTAACTGGGTGAGGAAGGTTACAATTTATATGTCAAAATTAGATAACATATTTTTTTTTATTTTTTCGTCCCATAACTTATTATTTTAGCGTCTCTCGAATTAATATAATAAAAATGCTCTTTAACAAAATTAATTTATTAAAAGGCTAGCATTGATTTTTATGTTTACTGGTTACAGGGTGGTTTTGTTTAAGGTCTAATAATTTGTAAAATTAAAATAGATCTCATTTTAACCATACAGACTGTGATATATTCAAATAAACCAAATCGGAGTCATCAACATTTAAACAAAAAACAGTTTCTGAATTTTTTAAACGCCCTATATATGTCTTTTTGGTCAATGACGAAGTAGGTATTATTCGAAATCATCTAAGTCATAGAACAAACAGTTTTTCCGAGTTCCAAGTCGGACAAATCGATTTTTCCGAGGTCTAAGTCGGAAATATCCATTTTTTCTGGGTTAAAAATCAGAATATTTGATTTTCCGAGTACTAAGTCGGAATAATCTATTTTTCAGAGTTCTTAGAAAAAATCAATTTTTCCGAATTCTTAGTCAAAAAATGATCTATTTTTTCATAGTTGTAATCAAAAATAGTATATTACATTACGAGTGTGGAAAGTGACATTTTTCACACGAGTGGGAAATATTGTCGCACGAGGCGCAAGCCGAGTGCGACTATCACACGAGTGTAGAAAATCACTTTTCACACAAGTGATGTACAATATTTTTCCTACGACCACAAAATAATGTCATCAAAAAAATGTAAAACCAAGGTTATTATTACTATAATAATTCAAATGTATTTAAAAAAATAATCAACAATAATCGTATTTATTCAGTTTTCATATTTTTTAAACAAAAAAAAACTAAAAAAATAAAAAAAAAACAAAAAAAAAATTCTGCCCCGCCAGGATTTGAACGCGGTCGAAAAATGGCAAAGTTGATAAGTTCGACGTTCTAACCACCTCCGCTAATAGCCCTTGTGTCAATTGAATGATCTAATCGGTTATGTATTTAACCAGAATAAAGAGCAAACATTATTTTAAAATTATTTTAATAATAATTGTTAAAGATAAATATCTAGGATCTAATTTACAACAATTTCAATAATTTAATAATCATATCGATTTTAGTATTAATATGGACATTACATAGATCAAAATAGAAATTAGGTGTTTGACATTTTGTGACAACTACTGCGGAAAGTAACATATTTTCACTCGGGTGGAAAGTAATTTCTTATTCATACGCGTGTGATATAGGGCACTTTCCATAGGACTATATAGTGTGTTATGTGTCACTTTCCTAAGTGGTCGTAGGAAAAATCGATTATTTTTTAGAATTCTAAGGGGTCTATTCTGTAACACATCCGTTAAAATTTAAAGGCCTTTTAAAATTAAACTTTTAGTGACCTGTTAATTTTTTTAACCAAAAATGGTATTCTGTATACACAAATTTTAGAGGCCTGTTAAAAATTATTTATTTTAACGGATTCCCTTAAAATGGCAGAACACTTGATAACATTGCATTTAAGATTTATTTAAAAACACAACCATACAAATCCTCAATTTTCAATTCAAAACCGTTAAAAATAAAAGGCAAATTTTAATATCTCTTTAAAAATGATTGTTATTTGAGGAATATTTTAAAGGAATTCGTTTAAATAATGACAGAAGTAAGTTAGTGAATACGAAAATATTTTTAAAGGCAGCCAATATTTTAACGGCCGTTAAAATATAAAGGAATTGTTACAGAATAGACCCCTAAGTCGGACTAATCTATTCTTCAGAGTTTTAAGTCATAAAAATTGAATTGTGCGAGTTCTAAAAGCCATAAAAATCTATTTTCTAGAGTACTGTGACGGCGACCCCCCAGGCCCCCCTTTCTTTTTTGATTTGTTCTTATTTTACTTTGTGAAATTGTTATTATTTACCTCACAAGTTTTACTTTACTTTAAATTTTTTACTTACTATATTTGGCCTTTTTCCTCTAGTAGTAGAAGTGATCGTCTAGTTAATTAATTGATATTTTATGTACCCACGTTGTGATAATGTTAATTAACGTAAACCAGGATTCGATGCAAAGTTTGGTGCAAATTGATAAATAAAACATACAAATTTATATTTAAACTCTTTTTATTTGTATCATACTTAAATGTGATGCAATAATTAGCAAAGTATATTACAATTGTTACTATTTACTGAGATCTCACTTGAGTCCCGTTCAAACGCAGACCATCATTTGCTATTAATATATATTTTGTTTAGGTTGATGAGAAACGGAGTTAACAAACAGCGTCAATTCGCCAGTTGATTAACTATTGTGTTGATGTTTATATATTCTTATTTAGGTTGATGACCAATGAAGTTAACGAACAGCGCCAATTCGCCATTTGGTTAACTAAGGAGTTGATGTTGATTTGATTCTATTGTAGATATATACAGGTTGCACCCTCTTAGGTAAATATTACGATGAGCATAGAGGTGATGACCAACGGAAGTAACAAACAGCTTACTATGTTGATTTCACATAAACTTTGTTTCAAACCTTGTAGAACGGGTTGCTTAGCGTATAGGTGTCCCCCCTTGAGCTAACGAACAGCGTAATCGCCAGTTGCTTAACTTACTATTAAATTTTACCATCTTGGTTTGTACAATTTATCCAAGATAGCACAACCCTGTATATTTCCAAAATATTGATTTTTATAATTTCTATTGATATGACTTAATACAACCATGTATATATTTTAATATTAATTATCATAATTTCTATTGAAATAACTTAATACAACCCTGTATATTTCTTAATATTGATTTTTATAATTTCTATTAAATTACTCAAAATTTCACCCATCGAAAACAGATGTCTTTCCTGTCTTTCGGGGTGTATGACCTGAAGGCCATGTGGTTTATTGATAATATTTTACAGCCAATGTCAAGCCTGCCCTTAAACGAAACTGGGGTGGTATCTCAAGGAAAGGTACGTAAATCTTTTGACTCACCACTGAAAATACAGACATTAGATTATGTACTAATTTCATCTAGCGTCGTGGAAGGCGTCGATTTAGGTACGTCGCAGCATTGATCGTCGAGGCGCGTCGAGACGCCTAGCGTCGTGGTGGAAAGGAAGGTATTTAATACGGTACTGTATTGGGACAGATATACGGTAGAATTATGTAGGTGGTGCGGGACGTGATGAAGGAAATAATTATGGACGGCAAGCGTCGGAAATAAGGCGTGGGACGTTGAGCGTCGAAATGAGTGTACGGTAGGAAATACTTAGATGGTGAGGAATGTGACAGCGTTCGAGACGTAGGGAGTAGGACGGCAGGACGTTGGGCGTCGAGACGTTGACACCTTTGGGGATAGGAGGTATTGTAGGATAGACGTCGTTTAGGAAGAGCGTTTTAGGAAAGGTACTGATTACTGAGCTTGAAATATAACTGGATACAAATAATAAATGAATGTTTGCACATCAAATAATTGAAAATGAAATGACCCGAGCTCATTTTTGTCTGGCTTTTTATAATAAAAGTTTTAATGGCTTTGTGACGTATCTATGTCTTTATTTCTCATAGAAATACAGTGGGTGCAGGGGGTGGCTTATTTATTACTTGCCTTGAAAGCTTTGTGTATCGAAATATTGTCGATATCGGTCTTAACATCGAAACTAGAAAAATAAGCTAGTTAAGTATTTTAATGATAATTACTTCGTAAACAGAAATACGCTTTATGGTGTTTTCTTTGGGCTGGTTCTCAGAGAGACGTGGATATATTACGGACGTGGTTATAGCTATTATTTATTAGGTGTCGTAAATAAGATTTAATTATCTGGGAGATTTTTCGTTAAATGAAGCATTTTGAATTTAAAAGAATGCTATATTGTATTTAATAAATGGAATTAATAAATTATTAAGGTACCTGGGTGCGATAGGTAGTACTAAGTCGGAATAATCAATTTTTCGGAATTAAAGTCGAAAAATAAAAAAATACATTTTGTGACCCTTCTACACTTCAGTATTAAACCTTGCACGATTCGTAAGTTTAATAATAATAATAACTCACTCGCCTTCTTAAATATTCTTCTGAGTGCCATTCTCATATTTAGTTTCTTTTTCAAAAGCTCTAAATTTCTGTCGGAATAATTTCTTATAATTTTCTAAAAATAATTTTGTAACTGGGGTTACGTGCATGTTTGTTGGAATACTCATTAGATGGCACATTCCATATTCAAGATTCAAGAATGCTCTTGATAAAATATTATTAACATTATTATAGGAAAAGCTCACTAAATCTTGCACTACAATATATTTTTTTCTTTTTTCAAATAAAACTATAACGTCACACAGTTGGATCAACGAAGATCGTACAACTTATAGCACAACAAATTGCATCGTCTGTGGGCCACTTTAGAAACGCCTTTTTTCTGCCTTGACATTTGACATCTTTGATCTTTGCTTGTATTTTAAATTTTTAGGTTAGGTTAGGGCATAGAAGTTAGGGCTTGTGAGTTTTACATATTACAAATTTTAAAAGAAAATATTAGGACTCATAACAGAAAATATGGATAATAGTGATGATTTTGAGCCGGAAGTATATAATTTAGTTTTCCACAATAATGTCTGTCATGTTTGTAAACAAACCGAAAATTTATTGAGATGTTCCAAATGCAAAACATTGGTTTATTGTTCAAAAAAACATCAAAAAATGGACTGGAAGTTTCATAAAGAATTTTGCTATGCTATGACTTGTGTTCGTAATGAACTTAGAAAAGATAGCATACATACTTTTGAAGATTTTGTTGAATTTAGGAATTCAAGAGGTCGCTATTTAAAAGTTGTGTTAAATAGAGAATTAGAACCATTGGAATTTATTATGTGTATGTCACTAAGGTTTTGTGAAATATGCTTGGCTGAAGATGTTCAACTCGATTGTCCAAAATGTAGGAACGTTTTCTTTTGCTCTGAAGAACATAGAAATGCATGTATAGATCATGATAAAGATTGTGAAGAATTAAAATTGTGTATGGAATTAACTTTGAGTTTGTTTCGCGAAGGACTTGGAAATACTAATTTTGAAGTTTCTGAAGTACCTTCCAGTGTGCAAAATTTACCTAATAACATTTTAGACCTGCTTGCACTATATGATAAAAATTCTGTGAGCTGTGGTCATGATCTAACACAAAATATTTTGAAACTTAAATGCATCTCTCCTGTCGCTTCAATTTTGTATGGACTCGAAAAATGTGGTAAATTAAATAATAGATTATTCCATAAAAATGGACTTACAATTCACATAGTAGGTGGTGATATATATGAAATGGGGCTTCTATGGAAAGAAATGTGCGAATTAATCTTCCATTGGATTACTAATTTAACTGAATTGGAATACTTTATTGTAGGACCAGAGCTGAACCATAGTGGAACCACTGATAAGTTCACTAAACAGTTATGTGATAATTGTAAAAATAGAAATGTTAAAGTAAACTGTACGTTTCATACTCAATTGTATCATAATATTGTTAATCATTTGAAAAAACCAGATGTGGTGGTTTGTTTTAATAGTGGCCTGCATGTAAATTCCATGGAATTTTCCACGGAATCTTCCATGGAATTTCCTATGGAATCTGAGAAACTTCCAGAGCATAATTGGAAAGACTCAATTGAGTTTCTAGTTAAAAAAGGTGTTCCTTTAATTTTGACTGCTTACACTCTTAATGAAATAAATGATGATATTGAGGAACTTATAGAATGGAACAAAGACAAAAAAATAGAAGTTTCGGTTAAACCACATAAGAACCCATTTTGTGATAAAAAACCTTTGAGAGATCTTTATAGTCAGAAAGAACCTATTTATTATGTTAATGGTTATATTTCTGTATTAAATGAAACCTAATTTTACTGGCTTGATTTTACTTGGGTGTGCTTTTGTTAATGGTTATATAGTCTAGTTAACAAGTGCTTTTGGGGTCAAATTTTTTTTTCGCCTCCGAAAAATATGAACGAGGTGTCATTCGATTCGGAATAACGTGTAGATGATTTTTGAAAAAATTCAATAGCCGCTTGCAAAAATTGCAAAAGTTATAAACAATTGACTGAAAAAAAAAAAAAAAAAATTGGGTTTGGTTTTTTAAAAATATCTCAAAAATTATTTGAAATTTTCCAAATTTGAAAAAAGATTAAAAAAGAAGAGGACATTTCCCCAAAAAAAGGTTCTATCACCCGGAACTGTAGGACCAATATTTATAATTTTCCCAGAGGGTTGAAAATAGGCCCGAAAACGGACTCTGGTTTGTGTAAGGTTCGCCCACTGTGGACCTTTAATAAATAAATTTTATTTAAACTTATTAAATGTGAAAATTACGAATTGAAAAAATTAAAAAAAAATTGTTTATAACCCAAAAAGCACATTGTTAACTAGACTAATATTTCTGTATTATTGAATGCAAACAACTTCATTTTTGTTCTTGGTCAATTTTTTGCAGATTACTGGTATCTACATTTATTTATCACAAACTGGAAAACATTTCTCTGTTCATTCCGTATTCTATTTATAATATCTCTTGTAATATTTAAACTATTATTACTACTGTTGACAGGAAACATGTTAACTTTCAAATTATTGTTAAAAATTGATAGTTTTTACCATGAGCTACTCATGTTGATTTTCTTTAGTAATAATTAAGATATTCTTGTTAACATTTTCTGCTGAATAAAGCAGTGTTAATTTAGTAATTTTATGTTTAGAAATATGGTACCTAAATATGCAATTTTTAATATTGGTATTGAGTTCTTTATTTTTTCGTTTTTTCAGGTTTAAATTGTTTTATAATTTAATAAAAGTAAAATATTTTTCTAGTTTTATTGAGAAAACTTACCAAATCTATTCAAATGTTTCAGAAAAAAAAATTAGTAACCAAAATGTCCAAATCACTAAAATAAATTTCAAAGCAATATTTCTAAAAGTTTATTCACGTAAAAACTGTTATAAATAATTCGATGTTTTTATAAACGCATAAATAATCTCTAAAAACTATTTAAAAATGCAAAACCGCAACGTACCTAATAGCTATTTATGCAACCAGTTATGAAATGTCTTATTTTCTGTAACTAGTGAATATTTTCGAGACGAGCAGAGCGAGGTCCCACCACATCAAACAGCATTTCGTAATGTACTACATGCAATATTTTTTCTAATTTTGTCTAGATTATTTATAAAATAGTGATTTAGTAAAAAATTACTGACATATAGGCAACCAATATTATTTTCTTGTATTGTTAGTTGCATATGCATAACTTAATTCATTTCATTGACAAATAGAAAATCATAAATTTATTTTATTCCTTGTTAAAGTTTTTAGTTTTCAAGAAAGTGGGCTATTTTGTCGTATATTGTGTTTGAATTATTTTGTGCTGATATAGAATGGAAAATAAGGACCAAAACAACATTATTACCAGTTTGTAAGTTTAAGCAAAATTCTATTTTTATAAGTCAACCTGCTCTTTGATATAAACTTTCAATAACAATGTAAATATTGATTTTAACACTAAAAAGGGATTATTTCTGTTTTTTTTTTTCGCAACAGGTGACCAGTGCCGGCCGAAAGGCTGGGCGATTGCCCGGGGCGCCTATCGCAAGGGGTGCACGATCGACCAAAATTAAGATTGATATACTATGAAATTATTTATTAAAACATAAATTGACTGATACGTGACAAAAAAATACTTAAAGAGCAAAAAAATCCAAAGTCAAAGAAAGCCCAGAAAAGTCCGAAAAAGGTAAAAAAGTTAAAAAATAATTTCGGTTATGGAGCTAAAAAAATCCTGCCGCATTGGGTCAGAAGAGATATGGTCACACTAAATTATAGAGGCGCCAGTGTACTTGCCCGATCTAAATATGTTCCTTCCGCCGGCACTGCAGGTGACAATTTTTCGCAGTTTCATAAAGTTCAACATTATGAAACTAGTTACGTAAAGTAGATCATTCTCTCTGCGATTTAAAAAAATTTCACTTTGGGGTCTGGTCTATTCTGTAACAATTCCTTTATATTTTAACGGCCGTTAAAATATTGGCGGCCTTTAAAAATATTTTCGTATTCACTAACTTACTTCTGTCATTATTTAAACGGATTCCTTTAAAATAGTTTTCAAATAATAATCATTTTTAAAGGGATATTAAAATTTGCCTTTAGTTTTTAACGGTTTTGAATTGAAAATTGAGGATTTGTATGTTTATGTTTTCAAACTAGTTCAAATAAATCTTAAATACGATGTTTTCAAGTGTTCTCCTGCCATTTTTAAGGGAATTCGTTAAAATAAATAATTTTTAACAGGCCTCTAAAATTTGTGTATACAGAATACCATTTTTGTTTAAAAAAATTAACGGGCCGCTAAAAGTTTAATTTTTAAAGGCCTTTAAAATTTAACGGATGTGTTACAGAATAGACTCCTTATATCGAACTTTTAGCGGCCCGTTAATTTTTTTAACCAAAAATGGTATTCTGTATGCCCAAATTTTAGAGGCCTGTTAAAAATTATTTATTTTAACGGATTCCCTTAAAAATGGCAGGAGAACACTTCCCAGACAACACACCAAATCCCAGAGATATCCGCAGAATATCTTTTGTGAATATCCAATATATCCACAGGATATCAGAAATATTTCGTGGATCTAATATGGATATCCAAATGTCCGTCTATATCCAGGATATAGAATAAGATATCCTAATGGATATTCAGCAAAATATCTAATGGGTATCTTCCAGAAAATACAAGAAATCACAGAGATATCCACAGAATATATTTTGTGGATATTCAATATCAATATATCCAATATGGATATCCAACCAAATGTCCGTCTATATCCCAGGATATAGAAGATATTCGGATATTCAGCAAAATATTTTAAGGGTATCTTTAGTAGAGGTTCATAAGTAACCAATGATTATTGAATAACGTCGAAAGAAAATAGCAGAGATAAAAAATATTTTCAACACTCAAAATATTTTCAACACTCTGCCTTTGATTTTGCCCACTAAGGAGAAAGTCATCCTTATTAGGACTCTTCAGCAATAAATGAAAATTCTCGACTCCAGTCTCTTATTGGAGTGATTAGGACACAAATTTCGATCGAACTTATTTACGGCGGGTCGAGCATGAGTAGATGCGATAGTGGTATCGCCATCTATACTTAGTAAGCAGAATCAAATACCATCTAGTGGATATCCACGATGGTTTGCGTTCGCGCCTAGACTTTGATATATTTAGTGGATATTCATGGGATATTGAATACACCTTAAAAAAATAATTTTAAATATCTGAACGGTACTTAGCCACAATGGCGTAATTTTTTAATAATTTGCTATATAATTACTATTATTTATGGACATTTGCATGTCTATAAATTACATTTCATGGATATAGAATAGATATCTACCATGGACTGGACATTCAGTGGATATTGGGATGTTCAGTGTAGATATCCAAAGATTTGGTGTGCTGTCGGGGTAGTTATTTAGTTTTTAAGAAAGTAGGTTATTTTGTCGTATATTGTGTTTTAATTATTAAGTGCTGATTAAGAATGGAAAATAATAAAGACCAAAACAACATTATTACCAGTTTGTAAGTTTAACCAAAATTCTATTTTTATAAGTCAACCTGCCCTTTGATATAAACTTTCAATAACAATGTAAACATTGATTTTAACACTAAAAAGGGTTATTTATTTCTGTTTGTTTTTTCGCAACAGGTGACCAGTGCCGGCCGAAGGGCTGGGCGATTGCCCGGGGCGCCTATCGCAAGGGGTGCACGATCGACCAAAATTAAGATTGATATACTATGAAATTATTTATTAAAACATAAATTGACTGATACGTGACAAAAAAATACTTAAAGAGCAAAAAAATCCAAAGTCAAAGAAAGCCCAGAAAAGTCCGAAAAAGGTAAAAAAGTTAAAAAATAATTTCGGTTATGGAGCTAAAAAAATCCTGCCGCATTGGGTCAGAAGAGATATGGTCACACTAAATTATAGAGGCGCCAGTGTACTTGCCCGATCTAAATATGTTCCTTCCGCCGGCACTGCAGGTGACAATTTTTCGCAGTTTCATAAAGTTCAACATTATGAAACTAGTTACGTAAAGTAGATCATTCTCTCTGCGATTTAAAAAAATTTCACTTTGGGGTCTGGGGTAGTATTCTCGAGTCACGAATATAGATTCGCATGCGAGATTTATGATTTGTCTCACTTGGTTTTCGTTCAACAAAGTGAGACACATTGTAAAACACGTATGCGAATGTCGGTATTCGTGATTCGAGAATACTACCCCTGGTCTATTCTGTAACAAGTCCTTTATATTTTAACGGCCGTTAAAATATTGGCGGCCTTTAAAAATATTTTCGTATTCACTAACTTACTTCTGTCATTATTTAAACGGATTCCTTTAAAATAGTTTTCAAATAATAATCATTTTTAAAGGGATATTAAAATTGGCCTTTAGTTTTTAACGGTTTTGAATTGAAAATTGAAGATTTGTATGTTTATGTTTTCAAACTAGTTCAAATAAATCTTAAATACGATGTTTTCAAGTGTTCTCCTGCCATTTTTAAGGGAATTCGTTAAAATAAATAATTTTTAACAGGCCTCTAAAATTTGTGTATACAGAATACCATTTTTGTTTAAAAAAATTAACGGGCCGCTAAAAGTTTAATTTTTAAAGGCCTTTAAATTTTAAAGGATGTGTTATAGACTCCTTATATCGATTCGTATTTCATACGATCGGCATCAGAACCCTTGTTTAAGCTTTATGTGAACAAAATATCCGATGATTTCAAACTTAAATGGAATATCGCACTTTAAAATTATTTAATAAAATTTAACATTCTTATAGGGATTTAATCGAATTTTTATGGTATCATCTTGGTAATCTTGACACAAAGTATGTACCAATTTCAATCTCCAAACAGGCTCTATCAAGCTAGCGGGCACTCTGTGGCGGCACCATACAAGACCTGGTGGGTTTTTTGTAGCTTTTTTGTTACGCTATTTGCGAATTTGTAGCTTTGCCCAGGTCCGAAAAAACAGCGGATCCGCTAGCTTGAATTTCCATAAATTCCATAGTAGCGGCACAGATTCAGACCCAGCTGGTTTTTCGTAACTTTTTTGTAGCTTTTTTGTTACGCTAGTCTCCCTTTTGTAGCTTGTACTAAACCTGAGAAAAGCGCGGATCCGCTAGCTTAGCGGATATTTGTAGCGGCACCAGCTCGGACCAGGCTCATTTTTTGTAACTTTTTTGTAGCTTTTTTGTTACGCCTGTCTCCATTTCGTTGCGAGGCCTGAACGTGAGTAATAATCGTTTCTCCATGAGCGTGAGAGAAAAGTGCGTTCATTAAAATCAAGTTTCGGCATCTAAAAGTAATATGTGCAACTCGATAGTGTGACTATCTGTTGATAGATGGCACAAGTATTGCATTTCACGAATTATGGCCATCTTCCATCCAAAATATTTTTGAGAAATTTAGATATAATCTCAAAATCGGACATTTGTTTTTAAATGTTTTTTAGTGTTGTTCATGTATTTATACTTTTGTTGAATCAATAATATTCTTACATCTTTTTTGAATAATTTCCTTAACCAATCGTTTTGCAGTATTTATGGACCAGTGTTTAATTCTGTCGGATCACAACTATACAGTGTGTTCCATCTCAGACGAGCCACCCCGTATATTTCTTATCCCATAGTAATTGGAAAAATTTCCCGAAACACGTCGGATGATTTTCTTTGGGGGACATATTTTGACGTATATTTAAGGCTTGAACCAGCAACCCCCTATGAGGGGGCGCTTCAACCCCTCAAAATGGAATAGGGAAGAATAAGGGTTGAGTGATACATCATTGAAAGCCTCTTTACAACGGTGTATGAAAAAAATCACAATCTTAAAAAAAATTAATTGTTTTATCACATCAACCCAGACAACACACCAAATCCCAGAGATATCCACAATATCTTTTGTGGATATCCAATATATCCACAGGATATCAGAAATATTCCGTGGATCTAATATGGATATCCAAATGTCCGTTTATATCCAGAATATAGAAGATATCCTAATGGATATTCAGCAAAATATCTAATGGGTATCTTTCAGAAAATACAAGAAATCCCAGAGATATCCACAGAATATATTTTGTGGATATTCAATATATCCAATATGGATATCCAATCAAATGTCCGTCTATATCCCAGGATATAGAAGATATTCGGATATTCAGCAAAATATTTTATGGGTATCTTTAGTAGAGGTTCATAAGTAACCAATGATTATTGAATAACGTCGAAAGAAAATAGCAGAGATAAAAAATATTTTCAACACTCAAAATATTTTCAACACTCTGCATTTGATTTTGCCCACTAAGGAGAAAGTCATCCTTATTAGGACTCTTCAGCAATAAATGAAAATTCTCGACTCCAGTCTCTAATGGAGTGATTAGGACACAAATTTCGATCGAACTCAATTACGGCGAGTCGAGCATGAGTAGATGCGATAGTGGTATCGCCATCTATATACTTAGTAAGCAGAATCAAATAACATCTAGTGGATATCCACGATGGTTTGCGTTCGCGCCTAGGACTTTGATATATTTAGTGGATGTTCATGGGATATTGAATACACCTTAAAAAAAATATTTTTAAATATCTGAACGGTACCTACTATTAGCCACAATGGCGAGCACAATGGCGTAATTTTTTAATAATTTGCTATATAATTACTATTATTTATGGACATTTGCATGTCTATAAATTACATTTCATGGATTTAAAATAGATATCTACCATGGACTGGACATTCAGTGGATATTGGGATGTTCAGTAGATATCCAAAGGATTTGGTGTGATAAACACACCTTCTAAGAGCAAAACATGAAGGAAAGATAACAAAATGTTTTGATTTATTAGTTCGAGAGAATTTATTATTGCATGGAAGTCAATGGAAGACAAATTGAACATTTCATTTAAAAACGCAGTTTTGATTTTTTTGATTGTAAGCATGATAAAACAATTGATTTTTTTAAGAATGTGATTTTTTTCATACACCGTTGTAAAGAGGCTTCCAGGACCTTACAAATAAAGTATCACCCAACCCCTCTTCCCTATTCAATTTTGAGGGGTTGAAGCACCCCCTTATAAGGGGTTGCTCGTTCAAGCCTCAAATATACGTCAAAAGATGTCCCCCAAAGAAAATCATCAGACGTGTTTCGGGAAATTTTTCCAATTACTATGGGATGGCACGTCTGAGATGGAACACCCTGTATATAGTGAGAATAGGTAATTGCTTGGTAGCTATTACTACCGGTGTGAAGTTAGCAGTAAGTTCTTAGTAGTAAAAATAACCGAAAACACCCGATCGGGAAAATAGTGGCGTCCGGCATACAACTATTTTAATAATCTTGTCAATATGTATTTTACATTAATATCGGACAAATAATTAATATACATACCGTTGAAAATGTCCAATTTTGAGATTATATCTAAATTTCTCAAAAATATATTGGATGGAAGATGGCCATATTTCTGAAATGCAATACTGGTGCCATCTATCAACAGATAGTCACACTATCGAGTTGCACATATTACTTGTAGAGGCCGAAACTTGATTTTAAATTAAAGCACTTTTCTCTCACGCGCATGGAGAAACGATTATTACTCACGTTCAGGCCTCGCAACGAAATCGAGACAGGCGTAACAAAAAAGCTACAAAAAAGTTACAAAAAATGAGCCGGGTCCGGGCTGGTGCCACTACAAATATCCGCTAAGCTAGCGGATCCGCGCTTTTCTCAGGTTCAGTACAAGCTACAAAAGGGAGACTAGCGTAACAAAAAAGCTACAAGAAAGTTACGAAAAACCAGCTGGGTCTGAATCTGTGCCGCTATTATGGAATTTATGGAAATTCAAGCTAGCGGATCTGCTGTTTTTTCGGACCTGGGCTAAGCTACAAATTTGCAAATAGTGTAACAAAAAAGCTACAAAAAAGCTACAAAAAACCCGCCAGGTCTTGAATGGTGCCGCCACAGAGTGCCTGCTAGCTTCATATAGCTCTCCAAACACTCCAAAATTTCCATATCCATGAAATCTTAGAGTGACTGCATACACATTGAATAAAAGAACAAGAACAAACGGAATAAGAAAGAAGAGAAAATAGGGTTATAAATTTAAAAATGTCACTGTCATTTCATTTTTCATTATTGTCATTAAAAGAAATTTCAAGTTTCAAGTGGTTTTAAAAAGTGAAAAAAAATTGTAAAAAAAGATTATTTCAAGTTCAGAGTACTTTTGAAGTATAGCTCTGATATTAGTGTATAATCTAATATTACATTTGTCATGTGATAATCTTTTGATAAAATTTAAAAATATACAAAGTAGTAAGTAAAATTTGTTTATATAATACCAATCTGTCTTTTAAATGTAAGGTCTTGACAATGAAATTAAAAAAAGGGGGTATCGTATTTTTTACTCATTAGAATACTAACACTAACAGGTCTATAAACTGGGTATTTTAGGTTTAATAAACTTAGAACATGATCCCTTATTATTTTGACAGGAAGATGAAAGTGCTTAACTTGTATAGTATTAAACAATAAGTCAACTATAAAGAAATACCGCAAATGGCGCAAATTGAGACAAATAAAGATTGAGAAAGATAAATTGTTACTATATCCATGTTATATTGTCATATCGAGAAACTCCAGGTAGTGTCTCCTTTTATGAATTGTATTGATAAAAAAATATAGTGATTTTTCGGAGCTCCTCAAGCAGAAGCAGAATTTTTTCTTCCATTTGCCATACCCCTTTTTATAGTGTATAGTTTATTTATTGTTACAATAGTTTCTAAAAAAATTTTCAATATGACATTTCTTAACACTTAGAAAAGAAAATACCTAATATTATAGCTACCTCTTAGACCATCATTGAGTATTCAAAATTACCAAATTAGACTAAATGTTCTAAACAAATATTAAAGGTCATGGTCCATAAACCTAATTATTTGATTGTAAGAAACAAGACCATTTGTCACAGATTGATTAATTACCTCAACTTGTGTTATTAAAGATTTGGTCAGTTAACATTTTTATTTTTAGATGGCTTTCTTCAGTAACATGTTTTTTTTAAAACAGCATCCAAAAATAGAAAATATTTCTTCAACGACCCTGGTCAGATTTGAAAGTGGAGGAAAAATTGAATCGTCCCATAAAGTTAATAACCTTGAAAAAAGATTTCTCGTTTGGACTAAAAAATATAAAACAGTTGATGAAATTCCTCCATATGTCACCCAAAGTACAATGGAACGATGCAGAAATCGTATGAGAATTAAAATTGCTAATTACATGATGGCAGCCACAGCAGTCGGCTGTATTGCAATGATATATTTAGGAAAACAAGATGCCAAAAAAGGAATATCTGTGACTCAACAAAATAGAGATTGGCATGCTCAGAATAGAGCAAATATCGAAGCAGGAACTGCTAAATAAATAGGAAATAAAATAAAGTATTTAATGCAGAAATTATGTAAATGTTAGTCGGTCAATTTTAAAACTTTTCTGGAATACTTATTTTTTCTTTGGCTAGCAGAGTTATCCAAATTCTTTTCAAAAGCAAGTGGAATGTATTTAGAAAAAAATATTAACCTTCTGACTGCATTGTTTGGGGTTGTTTATTTTCTTTACCATAAATATCTTTGTAATGTTTCCTATTTTAATGATATATTCGTCTTTAATTTATTTTAGAAATGTGGGATAGTAATAGAAAAAATGTTAAATAAATCGAGGTGTTTTTGATTATTATTTTAAAAATATGGCATAAATTTCCACTAAATACTTTGAGAGGTCTTATGTTTATTATTTTTTGAAACTTTTACACTTTTTAATATTTTAGAAAATGTCACTATCATTTTGAAGTAGGAACATTTTGTTTTTAATTTACCTAATTTTACCAAACTTCTCATTTCTACTAATTGTACTGACAACTACTTGAGAAAAAGTTACTAGTTGTTAACATGTTGTACCTAGAAGTTTTCACAAAAATGGTTGCACAAATATAAACACTACATGGTACTATTAAATACATATTTTTGTGTAGTTTCTATAATTATATGTTAGTTGCAATAACTTTTTGAGAAAACATTTTTTATATGACAAATTTATAAATCTAATAGTACCTTACATAAATATTTAAATCACACAGGGATTCAAGTAGGAAAAATGACACTGATTAAATCTTTTAGTTAAAATACAATTTTATTATTCATAAATATACATATTTCTGCTTAAATATACTTTTAATAGTAGTTTTTACTTAGGAAACATTTATTTTTGTTGTAGGTACTTTTATTGTACTTTATAAAATATATACTCTGTATAGGCTTGTTAGAATAAATTGTGTTACAAATAAAATTGTATAAATGTTTTTATTTTTTAAACTTAGAGTTAGTGTGGAGTTAGTTTTTGTTTGTGTTGCAATTTTTGTTTTATTTAATTCACTATTTCTACTCTTCTTACTCATTTGTTTTTGATATTTGTTTTTTTTTGTTATTAGAAGTAGAAAAAAGTCTTGAAATTTTGACAAAGGTTTTGTCATGATTAGGGAACGTTTGAGTAAAAATACAGTTAGGTTGGATAATTTTTGCAATAAAATGGTCCTATGGGCCACCCGAGGGGTCTTTCACTCTGCAAGAAAACGTACATGTATTGCCAAATTGTGGAATTACTTCAATAATTCCGAGTAATTCTCTGTAATACCAGGTAATACCAAAGTAATACCAAGTAATACCAGGTAATGCCAAAGTAATACCAGGTAATACCAAAGTAATACCACAAATTCCGAAGTAATACCTGGTAATTCCAAAGTAATACTAGATAATACCAAATAATATTAGATGATTCCAAGTAATGCGTGGTAATGTCAAGATAAGTACTGCTAGGTAACTGTCGAGCTACCTTTTTAGATTTAGTTTAATGTTAACTTTATTAAAAACCTTAGGTAATAACATTTCCTAAAAATTTTGCTAGCTAAAAATTTATGTACGTAATTTTTAATATTGTTAATAATATGCTCTTTAATTGCATCCTCATTCTCTACAGTTTTACTTTTTTTCTTTTGTTCCTCCGAATTTTTTTCAAGATTATCATCTACAAATTTTCTTTTCCTTTGACTTAATTCTAATAGTGTTTGATTTTGTTTCTTCTGTTTGGGTGTTTTTGTCAACTCTCATGCCAGAGCATATCAGTTTTTGACATTCTATGGAAAACATTTGAAGAAGTTTTATGTGTCCATCCAAACTTTTAAATTTTGAAGGCGTTTTAAAATAAATTCCAAAAACATTTTTTTTTTCATTCTCTTCTAATAAATCAGAAAGTTCCGTACATGCAAACTTTTCTAATTTATCTACGTCGGGTTGTTTTAATGCTGCCAATGAATATATATTGTCATACCCATTAAAACTTAGTAGATCTATGAGATATTTTGGAATAGAAAATTCTTTGAGTTCCGGTTGAAGTCTTATTTTCGAAATAAGTGACTTAATGTTATCATTAGCCATGCTAGAACAAATTTTCTAAATAAATAGTTCTCGAAATAGTTATACGCGCAAGTGATGAAAATTTAAATTTTCAATAAATAATGTAGAAATAGTATTTTCCATGGTAATTAATGAAATTAATTAAAAAATTGTTGTATAACCTTAAATAAGAATAAAATATAATCTCAAAAACAATCCTAATATTATCTCAAAAAACTCGTATTTTCTGCTATGATGCGTCCTAGACCCCGATTAGAAATGCCCACCCCACCCTACGCTTACTTATTAAATATAGTGCTGTGGTCCTTATAAAGAAAACTGAATACAAGATATTCCACTTAAAATGGACCTAGTAATGGACCTAGTGAGCATTTCAGAACTGGTTAGGTATATAGATTCGGTTAAATGTTAAATTGAATATCGAGGGGGACACTAGTATGGTGTGAAAATATTCCACTTAGACCCATGAATATATAACCCTATGTCCACCATGATCTGGTGAGTTAATTCACTATTAGTCACTAGTGACTACCTTAGCGCCTTACTTGTTAAATACGTGATTTCTAATCTTGAATGTTTGACATTTATTTTCTTTCAGATTATTGAAAATTTGTAACTTTTAAAAATCTTATTAAATTTGGTAGTGGAAGTCATAATATCTAATATATAGGTATATTACAGAAACAAATTATAAAAAAAAATCGCGTGCCTTACCGTACACGTGAGAGAAGTAAAACTTCTTAAAAACTAGACAATAAGAGATATTACAGATGTGTGTGTGTGAGAGAGGGAAAAAAGAGATAGAAAAATTGATTAGGCATTACGACATAAATGAACGAAAAACAAATCGGTTTAGATCCGAAAACTACAATTTATAATTTGGGAAATAAGTGATTATAATTCCCAATTCCCCCTACGAAACAAAGAAAAATACCCACATCCACCCCCAAATGAAAACAAACTCGAGGATAAATTGAAGCTTCCAGCTTTTTCGATTTTTCCTTGAGTTTGTTTTAATTTGGGCATTTTTCTTTGTTTCGTAGGGGAATCAGGAATTATATTCACTTATTTCCCAAATTATAAATTACAATGACAGTTGACACTTGGCAATTGACAATTATATACATATGTATTATGTATACAGATTGCTTAAAGCGGTATTGCTCGCGGCCATTTTCGCTCACAAGTACCATAAAGTGATTGGAGAGTTTGTTCATTGAAAATCAGTTTAGTTATATAGATTGTCTCTTTTCTCTCTCCACTCCACCCTACCCCCCACCACTCCACCCTACCCCCCACTTTACTCCCAATTTGCATCTGCCCCACTCTACCCCACTATCCCACTTTATCCCACTCTACCCCACTTTATCCCACTCTACCGCAGTTTATCCCACTCTACCACACTTTACTCCCAGTCTGCCTCCGCCCCACTTTATCCCACTCTACTCCCAGTCTGCCTCCGCCCCACTTTATCCCACTTTACTCTCAGTCTGCCTCCGCCCCACTTTATCCCCCTCTACCTCACTAGACCCCAATCTACCTTTACCTCCCACTTTACCCAACTCTACCTCATCCACTCTACCCGATTTTATGAAACGTGTTGAAATTTTTTATTTAAAAAGCAAAATTCTAGCTTTTTATAATAGCAAGTTAAAATCTCAATTGACCAATCAATCTCAAATTAAAATGTATTTACTTACCTGAAACATAAATTTTTTGCAAAAACCACTTTCTAACAAATGCACTGTACGAAAGACCAACATTAAATGATTTAAGTTAGGCTATGAACGTAAACAATCGAGGTTCAAGCGCATGCGTTCAAAGTAATGCCAACGTAATTCCATGTAATACCTTGGTAATACCAGTAATGCCGTCGTAATGCCAAGTAATACCGAGTAATTCCACCGTAATGCCAAGTAATACCACGTAATTCCGTCGTAATGCCAAGTAATACCGCATAAAACGTACATGTATTGCCAAGAGTGAAAGACCCCTCGGGGCCACCCAATATTTATTTGTTGATACTCATGCACGAGTAATACCCAGTAGAGAAGAACTAAACGATCGAATTATTGTCTTAGAGAACAAGGTGGCTCATATAGAGGAAAAACTAAATAATGCAATTTCTGTGAACAATAGTGATTTAGTAGACAATGAAACAAAACCTATTAATGAATTTTCTAAATTTGATATCGATGCAAACAACTTTAAAGCCATACGTTTAGGTAAATCAAAAGGAAAACCTCTGTGGAGTTTCCTGGGACGATTCAATGTTTAGATCGTAGACCAAGAAACGTAGTAAAATAATTGGGGTTAAAACTACTAGGTAGAAAATATATTTTGCTCAGAAGGTACAAATTAAAATAATAATAATAATAATAATAATAAACGACTTTATTGAAAGATAATGTTAGTATGATACAATGGGCGAGATTTAGCTAAAGCTACTCTTACACCTAACCCTAAAAGCTGCTCGATTATAATGGCAGTTTTTTGTTTTGTTGAAGAAGAAAAAAAAATATATATAAAATATAGATAAATATAAAATACAAATGTAAAACACAAAGATCGAATTCATGTTCAAGATAAATTACAATTAGGAATAAAATAGGGCGTTACATTAAAGAATATAATATACAATACAAATTTTTATATATATATAAAAAAAAATATAATGGTTAAAATAGTTAAGATACTAAGAGTGATTGTTTTAATTTTTTTTTGAAAGAACTTACAGATTGAATACGCTTAATATTACCACAGCTTATACAATACAGCTAAAACACTCTCTTGGCGGCAACGGTTTGCGTCGATTTCGTCGCGCATCGCTTAAGCTCCGCCTTCGAAGGGAAAAGACGGTTTTGGCGTTCAGAAGCGTACTTAGGCAAGGTGTTGAGTCGTGCGTATAATTTCGTTGATTGTATAATTTCGTGGAGCCTATAATTTCGTTGATTT